TTGAGTTGCATGCTAGCAATAAAACCTTTTATGACTGGACTTCCAACTGTTCTGAGATGGGATCTCAGTCAGCAGTGCTTCACATAAAAAAGGGTTACATCATTTACAGTACGTCCTTAAATTGATCTAGATATATTCTTCGTCTGTGGATGTCACTCTAAAAGTGTGTGCTTGAGGGAAGTGGGGTCGTATTTGTGACAAAGCCAAAATAGATCACAGGCATCATTGCAGACTTAGTTTAATTGTTCCAACAGTGCTGTCTCTGCTTTTATTCTCTTTTGGATCTGGCAGTCTCTCTGTCTCTTGAGTCTTTTTCTTTCCCTTCTGGATTTCTGACTCTTCCTTCTTTAAAATACTCAAGCATCTACAACTTTCACCATCAATGTCCTTGGCCAAATCTCTCTCTCTGTCATATCTTCATATTTCAGAAATGTCTTTTAAATGCCATCAGGGAAAAGGATTTGGCTCTTTCTTTGAAATGGTGGCTGTGTGGTCTGGCACCACCTACATGTATATCCGCTTTGACAGCCTGAACCTAAACATTTCCCTCCATGAGTTGTAATCTAGACGCAAAGTTGGGCTAACCACTGTAATTTAAAGAATCTAACGGCTAAAGGAGCCCTGCATGTCAAAAGCAGAGAGGAGGAAAGCAGAGAGGAGTATAACATTTGTAATTTACTTTTAGAGGAGTCTGATGCTGGAATGGGGGGGGGGGGGTGCTTGGGTGCTTGGGTGCTTGGGTGTGTAAAACCTGTATATATTTATTTTCCACTTTTTATATTATTAATATATTTTGCTTTGTTTGAGACAATGGACAGTGGACCTTAAATAACAGCACAAGTCAAATTAAGAATGTTTCGTCTTACCCCCTATAGTCCACCAGGATGCACAGTTGGGCGAGGGGGTGTGGGGTTGTAGGATATTTTTTTACTTTATGGCATCAATGTTTAATGTTGCTGCTTAAAAACAAAGAACTCCAAGGAAATTGTATCTGAAATCTTGCTCCAAAGAAGTAGTAGTTACTAGAGTGGTCTGTTGTTTCTCAATGTCTTACATTGTGGCATTCTGTTCAGAAAGCGAGGCAGTGTAGAACTTGGATTCAGCAAATTGAATACAATGACCTGCACCAGCTTAGGTCATTAGGTAATTTTTGTTAACTCATATTAATCATATTACCAAGTTTGAAGTCCTCCCATAATTCCATTGCGGATTTTTACCTAGCCGAAATAATGAAAGCTATTGCAAACGCATAACACTCTGGCTTAGGAGACCATGTGCTAAATAACAGATTTTGCTTTAAAAAGCTTCCCGACGGAAAGTTTAGATAAAAGCAAAATTGTGTGCACATATTGCAGTGATGGACTGTCAAAATATTACTTGCTGACAAAGATGATGCACGGTGGTCCTAAACACAGTGGACTACCATGCCAGGGTCAACACGCTTCTCAGTGACATCAATACATGAGACACTGAGGAGAGATCCCACCAGTGGATACAAGAAAAAGGCCATAGAATGTCTACAACAGCTACCTGAAAGGCAACATCATCACCTGTGAACAATATTACTGCTTGAAGCAGCCATCCCCTGCATATACAGACTACCCAAGATACATAAAGGAGGAGCCCCCTCAGGCCCATTATCAGCAGCCTCATCTTGGTCACCTATAACATTTCCACACACATATCTGCTGTCCGAGCCCCCTTAAGCTGATGATACACAGAGCAACTTTTAGAGCAATCGTGAAGGGCAACGTTGCCATCAGTGGTAATGAGTAAAGATTACTACCGTGATCTCCTTTCCCTCACCCACCCCGCACCGCCACTATACATTCAAAACATAGTCGGACTTGCCACTAGCAAGATTTTCCCAGCAAAGTTGCCCCGTGTATCATCAGCTTTAGTCGGCAACACGCCTCACCACTTCCAAAACTCCATTGACTTTGTGAACACAGTTTGTGGACTGAAGCTGGAGCCAGTTAAAATTATGGTGTGCAATGATAAACTCCTTGTATGATTACCATGGAGGCAGTAGAAACTGTAAGGATACAACTACTAAAAGAAAACACCCTGAACAGCATAACTAACCTCAGCCCAGACCGGATTTGTAAACTAGGGGTCATCATAACCCTGCACCACTAAACTGATAACATACCAACAAGTCCAAGAAAAGGACGTCTGAAGGAGGCACTTACAGTCTGTGGATATCCTAATTGGACCTTTGTGAAAACATCCACAAGATGCAAGAAGAACACCAACACTACAGCTGATGAGGAAAAGAAGACTAAATGCAACAACATTGTCATACCATACTTTTGATGTATGTTCAGGATTTTCATCAAACACCACATCCCTGTGTATTTTAAACTCAATGACGCGCTAAGACAGATACTGATCCCCCCTAAAGACCGCATTCCCAAACACAAGAAAGCAATCTAGTTTATGCTGTCTAATGCAGTGAGGAATGCACATACCTGTATACTGGGAAAACAAAACAACCTCTACACAAACGCATGACCCAACACAGAAGGGCAAATGCCTCAGGTCAAGACTTGGCAGTTTACTCACATCTGAAGGACAAAGGGCACTCCTTTTAGGAACACCATGTACACATTTTAGACAGAGTAGACGGATGGTTTGAAATAGGTGTCAAGGAGGCCATTTACACCCTGGTGGAATGACTACCACTTAATGGGGGAAGGAGGATTGCTACTCCACTTATGCCTCATTTACAATTCTGGAAACAAAACAAATGCTCATGTGAGAATGCCTGTGATGGTCATTCAGACCTGGCCTCGGGTGTGTCCATCAACCATAACGACTGTCATTAAAACAACCAGGAGCACTAATGAATAAGCGGTATTGATCATCTTGACAATGATCCCACAGAGGTTAAATAGCTGGGATTCCTACTGTTTAGTTAGAACCAAAGAAGCCTCTCAGGTAAGAAGCACATTTGTGCAGTTTCTTGGATGACCACAACTAAACTAATCAGTGCAATCGCTAAATGGATCTCCATTGACTGCAGACACCCCCCCCACACACACATAAGTACGAGTATTTATAACATGTGATTAATGATAAATTATCACAGCCTATTATTGTGGTTAACTTCATTTTGCTTTTTAATCGATTGACACCACTAGAAATTATTACATTCTTAGCCATTCTTAGCTCTACCTTTCATATTTGAGAGCCTCATGAACATGCGTTTTTTGGATGGTAGGATGGAACTGGAAATCTATTGAAGAGCCACCCACTGTACACCTTCCTCTGCTTCATGATCTCAATAGTATACACAAATCACCATCTGCTGCACTATAAATATCCCGTATACACTTGCTCTCCATCAAGTGCCAGGAAAAAAAAAAATATATATATATATATATATATATATATATATATATATAAATTTAGATGTCTGCCCCTTGTAAGTAATACAAACATACACACAATATAATCTGATTATAAGATTTCATCAATAGTATAGCTTTATTTTGAGATTTTTAGACTAAATATCGGACAACTGAAATGTATCCTATTACTGAAATGAAATAAAGCATACATTTGGGATTGATTTCTTAGACATGTAATGTGCCTAGTATGTTTACATTTGTCTTCTAAATACCCATGTGGTTCACTGCATTCCCACATGGATTCAAGCTTGCTATATAATCAGCCAACAAAAGAAACTAAGCACCCCTTGGTGGATGGATGATCCGTGCTGAGACCTAAAACAGCCACCAGGTGTTTATACTTGTCTTGCAGGAAACTAATTTGACTTTCCTGCACTTTCTCTCAGAGGAAAACCCATAACAAATGGACAGACATACATGCCTTCACAAGTTTTCCTGTTCTTTGCACATTGCCACTGGTATTTCCAGTTCATGTGGTGTGGGCCACATCATGTGAGGCTTTCTTAACCAGATTGCTGCTTTGATTTTATTGCAGTCTTGATTAGGCACATGTGACTAACTGCAAACCCTTGTTATATGAGGTATATTATGGGTGAGCGGTTGGAGGAAAGCAGAAGTCTTCCAGAGCTCTGAATTGTAACAAGATTCAGCCTCGCGGGTTCACGAGTCAAGGGCCGTTCGTCGGGAATTTGATTCTTCTGGCCGTGTGGAACAAAGTTGGCCCAACTCACTTCATTTCACACATTAGCAGTTGTGTTTGCGTCGAATAGAGAGATTTTCATTCTGCAGGCGGTCTCCACTACCTCACAGAAGAAAAATGCTAACCCCGCTTCACTTACCACAGAAAAACCAGCCAAGTTGACTTGGTAAGAGAGGGAAAATATTGGGGTCTTTGAAATGCAAACATTCTGTGGGGGGAAATGGAAATATGACCATTTTCCTGACATGAAAAGCAGACTCAATCATGATATTCTCAAGAATAGGCTGGACCTCGTTCCCTTTCTTCCCTTGGACTGTTTTTCCAGGGGATAGAGGAAAAGAAATGGAAAGAGACATGGTTATGATTTGTATCGTGATGGATGCCAACACAAATTGGGTAGCCATTTTTTTTCTCTCTCCCTGTCCTAAACTGTTAAAGAGACTACAGCATAGAAAGACCCATTATTTATTTACCACATCAAAGGCCATTCAAATTTCTATCATTTACACTTAAGAGCGGGGGAGACCTAAATTCAAGCAGCCTTTTAAAACAATAAAATGGGGGTGGTGCATTTTCAGGACTCAATGTGAGTAGGGGTGCTGGGATGCTACGGTGCTCTTGTGTGGTCCCAGCTTCTCTGTCTCTTTTTCTCTCTCTCCTCTGGCTTTTTCTCTCACATTTTCTCTTCCCTCTTTTGTGACTCTGAGCCTATGAGCTGGCGTTGGCCCTTCCTTACTGCACACCCAGTGGGGCTTTAAAAAGGCTGGGCCGGAGGTCTTAGCAGCAGCACTCACTCTCTGCCTGTGCGTCTGCCTTTCAGTCTCTGTGTGCTACTCTGAAAGCCGGCTGTGTCAACCTCTCCAGCTTCCAGGTCGTGCCGATTAGAGATGCAGATGCAACATTGCAGGGCCCCCCAGTCTCCTGCTCATCCTCCTGGGCCCCATACTCTTGGCTATGGGCTGGGCTGCTACACAGAGCCAAGGTGAGGAGACGACAGAGTTATTATTGCTGCCTGCTGTTGGGACATTAGTAACACTTTGTGGGCAGACAAATGGACGAGCAGGGAGACTTAAGCAGGTAACCTCAACCTAAGAAAGGGTGAGTGTGTGAGGACAAACTTTGCTTGAGAAATTGGTTGACAAACTCAGGTGTGTAGGCGTAGTAGTGTTAGAGTCTGTGTCAGTGTAGATGCACAAAAGCGTGTGTGAGTATATTTTTTGCCTGTCTCTACTAGTTTATGTAAAATGTGGGATGGACTTTTTGTCTTTCCGTTGTTTTGGTGTGTGGCCGGAGGAATTCTCCTGTTTGACTTCCTTCACAGTAAGACCCTCAGTGGGCATGAATAGACAGAAACCAAAGTGTCTTCTTGGATGTCCTCTGTCATTTTTGACACCTCTTGAGAAACCTCTTCTCTTGATCTAACCCTAGGCCAAATATAATTCAAAGTGTCAGAAAAAGGCAGAGAGAAGTGCATGAGTGTGCAGGCACTCATAGACACACTTGAATTCACCTGAAGCTGCTCTGAACTGGAGCTTTACCATTCCACACATGCAAAAAGCACACACCCACAAATACTAAGCAGTCAAAATCACACACGTACCTGGTTCTCTTCCTGCTAAATGATTAAGATCTGCTCACATCCATCCACCAACATACCCATATAATTCTCACATAATAATCTATGTATGTGTTTCCACCGAGCAGCATTATATGATCTTGAGAAGGAACCAGCCTATTGGGATGCTCAGGCTAGGGCAACACTGGATGCTGCACTGAAACTCCGCCCTCGCCACCACCAGGCCAAGAACATCATCCTGTTCCTTGGAGACGGTAGGTCATGTTATCATTATGGAATCCATTCCAGCATATCTTCAATACTGACTTAGCTGGGGTTGAAGTTTGAACACAAAAGGCTACTGTTTTCAGCCTCCTTGACAAATACAGCCCAATATGCAATGCAAGGCATTGCTCAAGTGTGTTCAGTTACAGTATGTTTGCTGTGCTTAGAATTGACTGAGGGAAGTGGCTAGGACAGCGGACTGTGTGAGTTGCATTGCAGACGTGTCTAGATTTGTAATAGCCGATGAGCCAGTGGTTGTAATAAAACTTATGTCAGCATTAGTCATTTCTGCAAATGCTTTAAATAGATTATGTTTAGGTGGGAATGACAGAGTTGAGAGTAATGACTGAAATAGAAAGACAGAAGTAGTGTGACATTGATCACTTGTGGAGTTCACATCTCATCTCCTACCTACAGGCAGCGCTGTTTCCTTCATCGCAAAGATGATTTTTCTCTGGCAATGTGAAAGGGGTCACTTACAGTGACTGACTCGCTTAGGAGGTGGACTGACAATTAAATCAAAAAATTTAAAGTTATATATATTGAGTGTTGCAAACCAAAATACATTGTGTGTATCCTTGAAGTCTAACTTACATGTTGCCTGCATTTTCTTCCTCACAAAACATGCAAGAGCTGATCTTTTTAGAAATTTTGTTTTTACATCTTGCTAGCAGTCTTCTTCTTCATCCCCACATTTGTTGGCACCATGTGTGTGCATGATTACAGAATGGGGACCTACTCGTAAAAACATTTCTCCATTACAATTATCAATGTTTCTAGTGGTCAAACACTTCACAGAGTGCCTTTGAGGTGGCAATCCCAATTACTGCAGGGGGTGGCTCTCCCTGGAGAACCACTCCTGACATGCTACATGTCTCCTCCTTTAGCAGTGTGTTGTATGGCAAAGGGACGGCTATACCAGTTGGGGAAAGTTTCCATCTGGATTGATTTGATTGGAAAATTGTTCACGTTAATTGTTACTTGTGTGGTATATTTACAGCTGGTGAGGCATGAGAATGTTTAAAGGCACAAAGATTTAAGAGTGTTTTTCCTGCTAACACTAGAATATCTGGTTTAAATCAGACCTACTGAGTCACATTTCTGGGTGGTCGAGGCTGAGTTTTCTTTGTGCATCTCTCCAGTAATGCCCTACCCAGAGCATGTTCTCAGATTTATGACTGTGATGTTAAAGGGAGAGTTGAGTGCATGACAGTGACATGGGCTTCGTAAAGTATGGTTTTCAAAATCAGGGGTCAAATCCAATATTTAACCCCAGGAAGAGATAAAACAAGCCACAAAACCACTGCCGTAAATGTTTTGTCCATTTTCAAACAAACACATTTTAATATTTATGGTCTGGATTTAGGAATTGTTCCCCAACTGAACAGAGAGCAGTATTCTGGGCTCTGTGGTATCAAAACAGAAAAAAAATCTTAATTTAATGTGAACGCATTCAGAATACAGATTTCCTTTTTTGTTTAAAAAAAAAAAAAAGAAAAGAATACAGATTTCCAAATCATTGTTTATGTCGTTCAGTATGTCAGTACTGAGATTGTGAAGCTAAAGAAATATAGACGGACCATATCAGTGAACCTTCATCTGTCAAACATTGTCTCCCAGGGATGGGCGTGTCTACAGTGTCGGCAGCTCGAATCCTGCGAGGTCAGATGGAGGGCCGATCAGGGGAGGAGACAATGCTGGCCATGGACAGCTTCCCGTATGTGGCCCTGTCAAAGGTAAAAACACTGTTGACCTGTAGTTCATTAGTAATGGTTCATCCACTAATTAGTGTAGACTACAATACAAATTTTAATTTTATAAAGCCAGCAGGGTTTCATCGTGTAATTTAAAGCTAGGGAATTTATTTCAGAAGTATTTTTTGTTATATTTGTTGAAATTCTCTTTACATCTCAGCAGCAATCAATAAATCAAATGCTCTTACACAAAAAAAAAAAAAAAAATCATTTTATTTGTTCTGATTGAAATGATTGGCTGGCCTACCTGCCTACTTGCCTACCTGCGCGCACTCTGCCCATGCACTCAGTACACATGTCATTTTATCATGTATCTATTTCAGCACTGCATGATGCAAGATACATTTTTTGTATATATCGTTTGCTTTTTATAGCATAAAAGGAACTACAAACTGCATATCTTTTTACAACCCTGTTGAAACATGACGAAATAATTGACCTTGTACCTTGTACCCTAAATACTAGATTTTTTTCCAACTGATTTGTGTCTGCACCGTTGGTGCTTTTCAATTATCATTTGGAATATAAATAAAATGTTCAGAATTTACCAGTAATTACCTGTACATGATCCCACCTGATTACAGTATATGTATTTATTATGGCTATTCAGAGTGATAGATTCTCCTTAAAAACAATGGATTTGTATTAGCCTTTTTGTTATTCTAATTGGACAAAAGGACAAATTAATATTAATGGAAAAGTAATAATTAAGCACATATCAAAGATACTATATACAGATAGTAATATACTTGTTCGTGTGTGTACATGTATGTGTCTGTGGTTGCTTGGTAAACAGTGTGACACATGGAGAGAGAAGGAGAAAAAAGAGAAAGAGAGGGAGATGCGCTGCAGATGATTATCCCAGTATAAAGAAGGGTGGGTCAGTCACTTGGCACCTTGCCTCATACAGTTCCACTTCCACTGAAGTTCTCATGCCCTGAAAGGATTTACAAGGGATTTTGCTAAAATCAACGTGGTAGTAAATGGTAAATGGTAGAAACAGTGAAAACAGATTTAAAGTCAGATAAAGGTTGGATTCAGCTACTGGTATAATCCCTAAATTATTGTACCTTACAGTAAGTGTGAGTGAGAGTGTGTCTAAACCTATACTATAGAAAGGGAAATACTACTATAAATATCCGTTTATTTCCTGTCTTTTATGGTGTCTGTGTTTCTGCTCCACAGACCTACAGTGTGGATAAGCAAGTAGCAGACAGTGCTAGCACGGCTACAGCCTACCACTGTGGGGTGAAGGCCAACTCTAAAACAGTAGGGCTGAGCGCTAAAGCAGTGGCCTACGAATGTAACACCACCTTCGGCAACGAGGTCTACTCAGTACTACGACGTGCAAAAGCACAAGGTAAAGACATGGCATGGCTAAGTAGTGAGGGTGCTGTGAAAGGCCAGCTGGTTTATATTGCATTCTTATCTCAAGATATGCAATGACCATATCTTGAAATAAAATATGAGAAATAAAACAATCATCTTGATAGGCATGTTCCCTACAACTTGAGTTATAGTTCAGTGTGTTCAGAGTATGACAATTTTTGTGCCTGTGGTCCTGTGTACCGTATGCACAGGGTTTATCATTTGATCAACTGTCCGTTTGTGAGTCAAGGCATGTTTATGATTCATGTGGGAGGGATGATTAGTGTCCATTCTAAGACATATACTCAATATGTTTAGCAGCGGGATGTATGAGTTATGTTTTATGTTCAGTTTTCTACATGTTTTTTTGTCTATAAATAGTCTTTATGCATCTCTGTGTCATTATGTCAGCGCACTACATGGTGGAGTATCATAGATATAATAGTATAAGTACTTGGATAGCTATTGTAATGTGTTTGAAAGTTACTTGAGTTATATGCTTAGACATTTTTTTATGAAGCCATTAAGTTTAAATTATATAAAGTTTCCAGGAGGCAGTATTGCATTGTTAAAGTTTAAGTGGAGACAAAAAAGCAAAGTTTTCCAAGGGAAAGTTAATCAGGATTTTAATTAATTAATTTAATTTGATTATTAAATTTGATTGGCAATTAGACTGGCATACACTGAAAGCATGAAAATACAAAATATATTTAAAAAGCAGTGATTTTAACTTGTTCATTGCTGTGCTAACAAGCTTTTCTAGAGAGCAATAAGCTACATGCTTAACTGGAACCTCTCTTAACTCCTACTGTACCTCTTCCACTGGGTGTCGTTATTTAAACAACGTAGACTGTAGGGCCATTAATGACTGAGCCAGTGTCCTTATTTCTACCTCCAGAGCAGCTCTGTGCCCAAGAATATTAAAGAACATAACATAAAGTAAAATTCCAATGTGCATAATTAAGGTCCCAGTATTATTTGTTAGTTGGTAATTTGTACAAAAATCCCAAGAAAAATCTTTCACATTGTGTGCTATTGTCTATATTTCTGATTTGGGTGTGTCTCTCTGTTGTCCAGGTAAATCAGTAGGTATAGTGACCACCACCCGTGTCCAGCATGCTTCCCCAGCTGCTGCTTATGCCCACTCTGTCAGCCGCAGTTGGTACAGTGATGCAGATCTTCCTTCCAGTGCCCACAAACAAGGCTGTGTTGACATTGCAACCCAACTTGTCACTAACGTTGACATTGATGTACGTAACAACAATTCTGTTTGCCACTTTTTTTATACTGAAAAATTATATTTGATTAATAGGTTCAAGTTCAATTTGAAACACATTGTACTGTAACTGACTGTACTACTCTCAAAAGGGTCACTACACACGTGAAAGAGAGTATAGTGCTTATCTACAGTAGTAGTTTGTCCTTTGATGATTTGATGTTTTGTTTTCAGATGGATAAGGAACAGCTAGGAAATAGTCTGCATGTACTGTAATGTAACCTTACAGAATATTGCTTAGCAGTAAATTAAGTAAATTAGTTTTTTTTGTTATTAGAATATGACTCATGTAATCTGCAAAGTGCAATGAGTGCACAATGACTTTGATTGTTTAACTGTTTGATTAAGACATTATAAGACAGTTGTAGGAAACATGACTGAGAGAGAAGGTGGAAAGAAAAAGAGTTCATACAAGGGATGCATCCACTAACTTGCTTTCAGATTTTGTCCAGCTTAACAATATCCATTTAAAAAGTAATAAGTTTTCATCTTTATCTTCACACTGCACCAAATATGGTCTAAGACATGGACATCCAGAACTGATAATTACTTACTTAGGTCACACCAACGAAACACTCATGTAATTTACCCAGATAATTAGCATTTAAAATCTCATCCCACATATCAGCATACTGTACTCTTCCAGTCATTTTCATTTTCCATCTTTATCCTCACAACTCATAGAGCCTAGCTGGTTAAAATTTTTTCCATTATTTGCACATGAGATGCAAGGTGAATTAAGTTAAGTTGTGATTATTAAAAAAACAATAGTTTCTGTGAAAAACATGTTCCTCTATTGTTAAGGCAGTATAATTCTTCAGTATAATGACCATCATAAATATGATCCCATTCTGGCTGGTGTCTCTTTAAGGTCATTCTAGGGGGAGGTAGGATGTACATGACACCAAAAGGCACCCCAGACCCCGAGTACCCTACCTCCAGCTCTCGCAAGGGGGACCGGAAAGACAAGAGGAACCTCATTGATGTGTGGCTGAAGGCTAAACCAGTAGGATTAAATAACATGGCTGTAGGATTTTTCCATATATTTTAAAATGTGAGTCATATATTTAAGTGTCCTCTGGTTTGTTTTTTAGAACAAGAAGTCACGCTACGTTTGGAACAGGAAGGAGTTTGACGAGATAAATGCTAAAAATACTGACCGGCTAATGGGTGGGTATAGATGTGTTAACGCAGACAGATGCAGTATATATTTACAGCAGTATATAAAGCACACACTGACACCATAGATACAGTACAAAAGACTGATAGACAGGCAGAAAAAAACAACAATGCACACACATTATGTACATGCACAATATTTGGACCTCTGTGTCTATGTTACTCAGGCATTAACAGATAAACCTCTTATCTAAGTTATGCAACCTTCTCAGTGGCTTAGAAACAAGAGAATTCCACTAAGGTCAGCTTTCATCTTTCCAGCCATGTAGAGTAGTTATTACTGTAAATTGCATTGTAAATTCTGGTTAGCTGGTATGATCACCTCTGATAACGGTGTGTCTATGCTCCCAGGGTCCTATGTTCCACATCTCAATATCCTGTGGAAATGACACTATGAGGAGACCTTTCAAAGGGTTTTTTGTTTTCTCTGCGATGTATTTACCTAGGTGAAATGCTGAATGTATGTTTCCCTGCGTCAGTATGTTTAAATTACCCACCTACAGCTTATACAACTTGCTGACGCAAGATAGTTTTCTTGCCTTTAGACATTGATATCTCCACAGTGGCCAAACAGATTTTTACCATTCAAAGTGCATTTGAAACTTCAATCTCCCTTAAGTTCTGTTGCAATTTGAACTGCAAAGTTAGCCCGTACCAGTCTCTTACAATATTAATTTATATTAAGAGACACATACCCTCATAGGACCAGGGGTACATAGTGATGATCCCCCACTAACTACAGTGATAAAAACCATGCTGTGATCATGCATATCACAGTAATACAGATGCAACAGAATTGTTTGTCTTGCACAGTTTGCAATATTGCTTTCACAGTATATATTATTTTCCTCTTTAACTTGGCCTTCATTCTTTTTTCTCTCACTGTGTTCTTAAGCTCTGCCTGTTTAGATTTAACTCATCATTACCACCTTACACTGCCAAAGTCATTAAAAAATAAAATCTACAGCACCCTTAAAAAAAATGTTTTGGTGCTTCCAGGTCTGTTTGAGCCAAAGGACATGAGATTTGAGGTTTTCCGGAACAGCACACGTGACCCCTCCATTGTGGAGATGACAGAGAAGGCCATACAAATCCTCAGCAAGAATCCCAAGGGATACTTCCTGTTTGTGGAAGATGAGTACCATATCAACAGTCTTCTAATTTAAAATCTCATCAAGCATGTCACTATGAGCATCTGAATTATGGCCATGAACTTTAGGCCCTTAAAATCAAATTTTGAACCTGATGGAGATTTGAAGAATACATGACTGTCAATGTAAACGAGGGGATTCGTTCTTGTACTAAAAAAAAAAAAAGTTGTCTTTACAGTTGATTGAAGAATGTAAGGCAAAAACAATAGATTGCACCGTCAATAAGGCATTTTCCTTTTAGCTACTGCTAAAATGAGTCTTGTGGAAATGTATTGGTCAGATGTTTCAGGCCAGGTCTAATTAACTTCTTTTGTGTCGTTCTGTTACGAGGGAGAATTGATCATGGCCACCATGACGGCATTGCCAAACTGGCACTGACAGAAGCTGTAATGTTCGACCGAGCCATTCAGCGCGCTGAGCGGCTTACCAGGGAATCCGATACTCTCACTGTGGTCACTGCTGACCACTCCCACGTATTCACCTTTGGTGGTAGTACACCCCGAGGGAATCCCATCTTTGGTATGGTTCAAATACCAGATTGAATGCAGTCCAGATTGATATTACCATGAAAATCATATTTAGAAACATTACAAGTACAGGGGGAGAAAGTAGTAAAAGAGAAGTAAAAAGAGTAGAAAGAGTAGATTTGGAAAATTACCCTAGAACTACCCTAGAATGACCGGTTTTTAACATTCATATATGTAGTTAATTAAATACTATTTAAGACTAACTTGCATGTTAAAAGCTTCAGTTTTTTGTCTCATAAAGTACATGTGAGTCTGTGTGCTTGTTCGGCTCTATGTATAAGATACTGTGACCAATGTTTTGTTTCCCACCTTCTCTGCCATTATTTGTCATTCAGGTCTGGCACCAAAGAAAGCTGATGACAAAATGCCCTTCACCAGCATCCTGTATGCCAACGGCCCTGGTTATGTGCATATAAATGGAACCAGAGGGAACATCACAATGGTGGATTACTGTAAGTACAAACTAATGTCTTTCAGATGCGACAACCGTCTGGGCTGATGTGTGTACAGACAGCATGAACTGATGTGGTTACGGCTGACTCATTCCTGTGTTTTTCTCTGAAAAGCAAAGATTAAATATGTTATGGCATTCACTGTGCTTTCCTCTGTTCTGTTCTCTACACAGGCCTCACTGTGTACATATAACTGTACTTAAAAAAAGCTATTTGTATTTCTTTGTGGAACACTGGATAGCAATGATCCAGTTCTTCCCCCTCTTGTTATGCACCATTCACTTTAGTCATTACATGAGTGTGTATACTTGAAGGTGGAAATACTTCTATACAGGGATGATTGAACTTTTAAAACTCCCAATTTAGTCCTTTTGAATGGACTGGCATCACTTTATGTTTTTGGAACCAGGAGTGCTGTTTCAAAAGAGCACACTCATCTGGCACCTTATGTAAACATTGCAATTACAAATGAGAGATTTATGTCTGAAACTTTGTGTATCCATGTGGAGAAAAATGAACCACTGAAAGAGTCACTCTCTATATGCTGAGGAGGCCAAAAACATATTGCAATGTTTGTTAGAGAAATTTATGTATGATCAGCATATCATTCAAGTTTCCTTCAAATTTTGAAATAATCAAACCACAATACTGTGTTTACTGTGTTTTCTTTCACTGTGTGTTTGTTTTTGGGGAGGAAAAAGTTATGTAATCTGTCAGTACTCACTTTAAAAAAGTCAGGCAGTAAATGCTGTAATTTTATCAGAAGGACTTGAGCTACCTTCAGGGTTTTCCAAATGGTGTAATTAAGTGTAATTAGGTAAATTACAGAAAATGTGCAAAACACCATTTTATGGGCAGAACAGTCACAAAAACATCAATGAGGTGAATGTAATCTTAAAGCTATCCAATAATGCTATCTGGAGTGTTTGCACTGAACAACAAAAGGAATCCAGTAGAATCTATTGTTAAAGCAATAGTTAAAGGCCCTTTATGTTGATGTGGCAAAGGCAGGAAGGTTATTCCATTTGTAGGCAAAAATTTTATATGTATGGCCCAGTGCTGGGAGCAAACAGTGATATAGTAAATGTAGTAAATAGTCTACTGGGTTGCAGGTGGCACAGTCAAAAAGAATAAAGTTAATCTGGACTGACATCATGGTTAACTTGAGATGACTCTAATCTACTAAAGCATATGTTTTGTATTAACAGTTGATGATCCAAGCAGAGAGTTGCCTGGTTACATTTTACACTTGTTTTTTTCCCCCAGACGATGAGGAGTACATGCAGCAGGCTGCCGTCCCACTAGATTCAGAGACGCATGGCGGTGAGGACGTGGCTATCTATGCCAAAGGCCCAATGGCTCACCTCTTCCATGGGGTGAAAGAGCAGAACTATGTGGCACACGTCATGGCCTACGCTGCTTGCTTAGAGCCCTACACAAACTGCCCTCCTCACCCCCACCGCCACGCCTCAAGCGGGTGTGTGAACACACCCTCCAGCCTCCTGATTGGCCTGCTTGGCCTCCTCTGGTTACTCAGATGACACCCAAACATGCGCACACATACATGAATACATTGTATGCATGCAGCAATACCGACATTTAATGAACATGCACACTCAAAGTCAGAATGCAGGGATAAACATACACTGCACTGTATGTGTGAAATATACTCATCTTGAGCACTCATACACATGAGCTTGTAACCCAAAATGTAGGCTTAAATATGCATGTAGTAGCTCTTATCCAAATACAAATTAACAAACAGGCAGGCATTGCAGGCTAGAACACATGCAAATATGCACACATGCGCAAGAAACACTCCTTGAAACTGTTTGTGGAGCCATCAGCATTTATTTCATAAAGACTATTTAAAGCTTGTACTTGTAACATGACTACTAACTTGCACTAACTAGTTCTTCCATTAGTTAGTCATTTTCTAAAGTTAAACACAAACCCTGCTCACTCAGAGCTGTCAAACATTTGCAAGGAGCTGTATTTTATTAGTTACACATTCATCTAAGGCTTAAGCCAGAATAACTTGAAACAAGCAAGCAGGCTGACGTCTCACAATTTAGCTTGCGGACACTCAGGCAGGACACAAAGCTGTTGATGTACATGATTGTCACTGTCCGGATGGAATAAATGACTATATGACAATAATAGAAACCTGAACTACGAGCCATCGTGCCATGCCAAGCTGCAACACCAGCAGACCTTACAGGAAATCATAAAGAAGCTGTACCTTTTTCAGGAGTGGGAAGTAAACATGTAGCTTTTAAGTTTTATTTTTTTTCAATCAAGTTTGTGTCTTGACCTCATTGGTTCCAAAGAGTAAATCTGTTTTTTTGTCAGATTTTCTGCCTCCTTATCTGTAATCTATTTAGATTTTACATGAATGTATTTTGTAAGCAAATATTGTCAATGTATTTTTATACTGTATACTGTTTTTGCAAATGTTACTTAAATAAGGATGAGCAAAATCACGTGTTGTGAGTCCATTCTCCAATCTATTTGATAGCTATTGTTCTAGTTAAAACCTTATTTTATGGACCCCTTAGTTTCATAAAGATTTCCAGAGAAAGCAACCAATTTAGGACATCTTCTTGAAAGAGCTTAGAAAGGAATATTTTAGAGAAACTATAGAGGTCTCACCTCAAGTTCATACAGGTCTAATGTAAGCATTAAAAAAGCCTTAATCTATGCAAATATTTCACACAAGGGAATCATTGTAATGGGATCAGTTAGAGTACAACTCTAGTTTATGTCATTCAAGCACACAAGGGAAATGTACTAACACACAGGTAGTTTCCAAAATCCAAATGCATTGGAAACACTTCAAATATAGGAAATTGCCACATGAACATGAATCATGCAAAAAGCAATCAGCTAAACATGGCATCAACAGAATAAGTAAGAAACAGAAGCAAAAATATAGCACAGACACTGAGAAAAACATCATCAAGTGCATTTTTTAATCAGTTCATTCACTTTATTGATACTTCAGTTACACTGCTTATACAAGGTTTCTGTGTGTGTATATATATATATATATATATATATATATATATATATATACTATATCATATATATATATATATATATATATATCACTATATGTATATATATCAATTCTGTCTTTCCGAGTTCTTGCTCGTTTCACAGAATCTTTTGCTGTTAAACGTCCAAATGCTGATACTGACAAAAAGCTAAATGACCTTGTGATGGTCTGTCTAAACCACAAGGCCAGTCAGTGTGAGTGAGTGCTGAGGCTTTTTAACCACACAAAACATCTCACAGTTGCACAGTAAGACCCACCTGTACATACACACACACACACACACACACACACACACACACACACACACACACACAGACTCACATGTTATCAATTAATTATGCCACAGATTTAAAGAAATCACTGCTCTTTTAAAAACTGTTTTAACAAAGCGGATGTTGGCTGAATTCTGGCCTACTTAAATGTGAGCTGCAGAGATTTGTAAAACTGCAATGTAATATTAGTAAGCTAGCAAGATAATCCTCTGTACTCCAGCTGAGTTTGCACTTCAGCTGACCTGGAACTAATAAACAGATGATTCATTAGATCCCAGTTACGATGGATGATTAATAAGCCTCATGCGCATTCCCTTGTGTTGGTTTTAAATTTATTGCACTGTCAAAAAATCCACTTCAAAAGTAAAGAGTCATCATCATTTCCAGCCAACTGTATAGAGAACAACACAAACAAACACACGGTTGAGATTTTGCGAGCAAAGAAATGTATGATAATATTTGTTTGAAAGAAATGTTGAGTGTGATGGGACTGTAATGCACATAGGCCTTCATTGATCTGTTGTGAGAAATCCTCCCAAAAGTTCCTCCATTTGAACGGGAAGTCCAAATCCTTCTACACCAGAAGTGAAGTTATTCCCAACAAATTTGCTGTCCAATCATTTCATGTGAGACAACACAGTGACACTTGCCGCCTCATATGTACACTACATTCTGGACACATAGAAAGGAAACTTGCAGAAATTCTTTCAGATGCCAACATGCAATTTAATCGATTGACTTTGCTCTTGTCCTGTGTGTGTGTGTGTGTGTGTGTGTGTGTGTGTGTGTGTGTGTGTGTGTTGCATATAACCTCTGGCTCACGTTGAAAGGCTCTTCCACATGCCCTTTGCTCCTGGCTGCAGCTATAAAGGGACCTCCGTGAGCTCCTGTTCTCAGTTGTTTTTTTTTAAATTCATATAAAGTATAGTCAATGCCATGGCCAGCAACCCTGAGCTCATTTTTACTGGATTATTGATTTTCATATCACTGCAGTTGACATTGTCTGTTTCAGGTAAGGATCTGTTTCATATCAATGTTGGACAAAAAATAGGTATCTGCTAACATTAAGAGTGCTTTCTTTCAGACACCACATTGGACTCACACAACTACATTTCAAGGACAACACAAAGACATGCCATGCTTACAGGAGAGAATCTTATGAACTTTTGATTCGAGCAAGAAAAGAAGTTATATGTGACAAGGATAAAACATTGTTAATAGGCTTACAGTGGCTTTTTTTAAACTCTTAAAGAAATAGGTGACTCTATTGATGCTGAAATACTTCTCTAAAATATTCACTAGTTCATAAACCATTTTTATATATAACAGATAAAAAACATAGACTGACCAAGGTCTCATATTCAGCCTCTATTTGTTCTCATTTCTTATTTATTTTCATGGCATCTTTGTCTTCTATGGTAATTCCAACATCAAGGGCACCTGGTCTTTGTGACTTTGTTCACTTTATCTCCTGTTCTAAGAAGATGTATTGGTATTTTTACACTTGTTACTGCAATTCATTAAAAATAAAACCTGGAGGGTTCCTATACATTTAAAATGTAAAAGTACATTTAATGAGCCACTTCTGGTTGTGGTTGACACTACCATATTGCATATTGTTTTTTTTCTTGCTTATAGAGGAAGAGCTCCATGCCAGCTACTGGAACAAACAAGGGAGGCAGGCTATTCAAACTGCCCTGAATATTGAGCCTAATCTCAGCCAAGCCAAGAACCTCATTCTCTTCCTCGGGGACGGTGAGTCTGAGAAAGGAGCTTTCCCACAGTTTAAGTAGTTTCTATGTATTGAGGAGCATTTGCTCATTTGAGAAGGAGAAGTGTGAGTTTCATGACCACTGTGGTCTAGTTCACCAAGAGAAAGAAAGAGAGAGACAATACGATGCAAACCAAATGCGCTATGTGACCCCTGGAAAGTATGAGTTTATGGGTAGAAGGAGATTAATGCTGACATACAATCACCAGCAGTTACTGAAGCCAAACAAAATGAAGGCTAAAACCACAGTCTACACGGCATGTGTTGATATTTCCTCATGTGTCCCTAAATGATCTGAACACCAAAAAAGGTAAACCATGGCAAAGAGTTAAGATTTAAGTCAATGATGCACAGCAAAGGTTTTAGAAACTGACCATATATTATAATTTAACTGGTGATGACTTGTTAACAGATCCATTTGTACCAATGTACAAATGTACAAAAAAAAGGAAACAAACTCTATATGCTGTGTAAGAAAACCAAAAAAGATTATATTTTCCATGTCACTTCTCCATGACCTGGGACCTCACACACAGATAAAGAAATCACTTGCTGTTCAGTGCCTTCTGTTCACTCCATGATCCAATATTAGTACTTCACATGACAAATGATACATTTATTGATGAATTATGGATTTATGGTTATAGTTGCCTCCACCCCAACCCCTCAAACATGCTGATAGCAGCACACTTAAGATTTGATAAATGTTTGGGATTGATCATTAACATTTAATCACCCAATAAGTGTTTATGAAAAGTTCTTGGCGTTAATGACATAGTAGCAATACCTCCCCAAGGAGGAATGACAAAATCAACCTTAAACTGACAGAAATTTAACGCCCAAGGTTTTGCAGATTTATATATATTTATGAAATATAATATATTTGACTTATCAACATACATTTTCAGATAAGACATATTTAATATTTTAAGTAAAGACAAGATGTTAGACATTATGCCCTGAATCTTTCATGAAACATAAAAAAAGTATAATGTGGATATATAATGTGGAAATAAAATGTGGAATGCTGCTGTATTTGCTTTGCATATTGTCCACCATTTGTGACTGTAAAAAACTTGGATGTCTTTCACCACTCTTTAAACCCTCACGTCAGCTGAGCCTTATAAGGTTCACAGAGCACAAAGGCAGCCCTGTGCCTGCCTGGCTGATGCTATCTAACACTCAGGTGTGTTTCCACCTGCTTCCAGGTATGGGGATACCGACAGTGACTGCTGCGCGGATCCTCAAAGGCCAGTTGGCAGGAAAATCTGGGGAGGAGACCAGTCTAGTTATGGATACCTTCCCTCACCTGGCACTGTCTAAGGTTTGCCCACTCTGAACACATTCAGACTGCTACATACAGACATGTATTTCAGGTGTTTGAATGAAGACACCACATGCATTTATGGTACTTAAAAAAACACATGTAGCCTACACTGACCAATAATTGTTGTAAAAAAAAAAAAGGAGACATAGTCATTTAATAATGCTTTCAGTTGATAAGCACAGTAGATGACTAAGATGCTTGAACTTTCATAACACACTAACAAGCTGACAATACATTTTTGTGTGTTATCAAGTCTTGCACTTCCGCTTATCTCATCATATTTCATAAAATGTCAGTGAATTCCGAAATGTTAACAGTGTTGTCAGCAATAAGAATGTGGAGATTATATTCCTCCACTGATAACTGGATATCTGATGATAGCCAAAAATGCACAGGCCAGTGCATTTGTTTAGGCAAAAAAATAATTCACAATTTTCTCCTTGCCTTTCCTAAAGGATGGTCCCATGTACCCTATGCTAAAGCAGATATGAAAGGAAGCATTGAGGCACCTTTCCTTAGCTTTAAGAGAATTTGACCAGCTCTTATCATGGCTTCCTAAGCAAAAAAGACTTTCCGTACGCAGTCTATGACTTGAGAGTACATGAACATGCCCATCTAGTCCACGAATATAATCTTATACTACTGTAACTCTCAGTGTAAATCACTGTGGATAAGAACACCTGCTAAATGCCTGAGATGACAAATGTGCATGTTAATGTGTGTGATTATATTTGGCCCCTGCAGACGTACAACGTGGACCAGCAGATGCCAGACAGTGCTGGCACAGCCACTGCTTACTTATGTGGTGTGAAGGCCAATTACGGCACCCTAGGTGTCAGTGCTGCCGTCCCAAGGTACAACTGTAGTGCTACTAAAGGGAATGAAGTCACATCTGTTCTGCACCGTGCCAAGAAAGCAGGTAGGTTCAAGTTCATACAGCTTTACAGTTCAGTTCAGTTCAGTTCAGTGGGCTTTATTGGCATGAATGTTCAATGTTGCCAAAGCAGTTTCAAAATCAAAAAAGTTTACAGTTAAATAGTTTAGTAATGGTAATAGTGATTTAATAGTTTACTTTATGATGAATTCATTTAGACTTGGACTTACTGTGTATCATACACTGTTTACACAAAGCCTTGTTGATAAGGACATTTACACAGACAGATCAGTAGGCTACTCTTACTCTAATAGGGTTTTAAACAATTCCAGTCTTGATTTTGTTGGTTGATAACATTTCTTTAAAGTCTCAACAGTGTCTATATATTCGTGACAATGTGTACGCTATAAAAATGATGTCCACAACATGACCAACGCTGCGCTGTGTGTTTCAGGAAAATCAGTGGGAATTGTCACTACAACCCGAGTGCAGCACGCCTCTCCTGGAGGAAACTATGCCCACACTGCCGATCGAGGCTGGTATGCTGACTCTGACCTCACCTCTGAGGCTATCAAAAGTGGCTGCCGTGACATTGCTTACCAGCTGGTTCACAACACAGAGATAAATGTAAGCCTTAATGTAAAGGTAGCAAAACGCTAGAGCTGCCAATCAATGGAATTCCTATCTGCGGCTATACATCTGATCACGTAGGCAAACAGCCTCTTTAGTCAGAAAACGACGACTCAGGAGCGGCGCTTCCTCACGCATGGGTAAGGGCGGGGTCAGTTGATGACGCAATAGACAGTCCTCCGTAGACCAGACCGTCTCTTTTAACAACGGTCGCTTCGGCCTTTTGCGGCCGCATCCTTCGTAGGCCGCGAAGGCCACGCCCTTCATAGGATGCGACCCCTTTGAGACGCAGCTATAGTATCCCTCTGGATTAGAGTATCTGCTAAATGTTTAAAAAGTATTAGTTTGTATCTATATTAGTATATATACATACATATAAACTGTCCCCATGTCTCTTGATCTAGGTCATTCTTGGTGGAGGTCGTCAGTACATGTTTTCCAGAGACACTACAGACCCAGAGTATCCAACTTCTAAAGGAGTCCGAAAGGATGGACAAAATCTTGTTATGGAGTGGCTAAAGAACAAAAAGGTAAATGGTAGATTTTACAAGTATGCTCATCAGGTTTGAGTTTCAATTTGAATGAATGGAATTTACCCTTTGGCTGCAATTTGTTAATTGTTTTATGAGTTATAAAAAAAAGTTTACAATCCCTTGCTCCATCCTTCTAAAATTTTTGTTTTCTCTTCTCTAAAATCTTTTGTTTGTTTTTATTCATTGCCTACAGAACGCTAAATATGTTTGGAACAAAGCTGAGTTTGATGCTGTGAGTCCTGCAAATACAGACTTCCTGATGGGTAAGAAAAAGTGGTTAATTGAGCAGTTGCTGAACATGTGGTACGAGGACAACAGGATCTCACATACAAGGCAAAGTCAGAAAACAACAGTTTGTAACTCTGGATGTAAGATAAACATATACATTATTACATTCTCACAGTTGACCATGCAGTATGCTGACTGTATGTGAAACATTGAGGTATTACTGTCAGACCCGGAAGTTATTTGTCAATTGACAGAAAATTAACCAGTGACAATTTTGATAATCAGTTAATCGTTCAAGACACAAAACCAAGAACTCTTGCATTAATCACCTTCTGAACTGTCCTTGGGCAAATAGGGTGAATCAAACCCATGAGATTAGCCTCCCTTTTACAGCCTCAATTTGCAATTTAGAGCAATAACACAAGCTCTTTTATGCAGGGGAATATAAATTGTGCATTGTGGCACTAACACTGCCAGCTCTATACTAAAATAGTACTTATAATACTATAAAGTGCTTGGTACCGTCTTGAAAATTGCCATTTGTTTTTTAGTTAAATAAACTGAAATCTGCTGTTTTTCTCTGCATTTAGGTCTCTTTGAGCCCAAAGACTGCCGCTACGAGTTGGACCGTGATCCGACCATGGACCCTTCCCTTGAGGCGATGGTGGAGAAGGCAATTAAGATTCTTAGCAAGAACCCAAAGGGATATTTCCTCTTTGTTGAAGATAAGTGTAATTGTTTTCTGTAGTTTTTTTCCCCAGAGAGCAAACAACCATATAATGTTAAACTGTTTAATTGTTAAACATTTGAACTCTATAACTTCAAAATGTAACTTAAGTAATTATTTAATATAACATCAGGTAATTTCAAAACCACAAATTTTTGGGGGGTCTCACCATTCAAAGAGTGGATGTATTATTTGGGATTTTTAGCTGTGGCTGGATTATTGGAATTGCATGCTAAGCTTTTTGTCCAAACCACAATGAGAATTGAATATACTGAACAATTTATGTTACAGTAAATACTGCTGAATTAGAATTAGAAAAACAAATAGACTAAGAGGGATGTACTACTGATGCTTATTAGTCATTTGCTTTCTTTTGGGCTTTAAGTGGGAGAATTGACCATGGTCACCATGCAGGGCAGGCCAAAAGAGCTCTCTATGAAGCTGTTGAGTTAGACAAGGCGATTGGGCGAGCAGCTGAACTCACCAATGAGTCGGACACCCTGTCTGTGGTCACTGCTGACCACTCCCATGTCTTTGCCTTTGGAGGATATTCTGCCAGAGGAAACTCTGTTTTAGGTAAAATGCATTATAAAACCTCCTTCAGCTCATATCAAATTCTAATGATATGAGCTGATGGAGGTTTTATAATAAAAAGTGAATATAATCTGATGTTCCAAGATTGAACAAACTTGTATATAACACTTTGTTCTGTGATGTACAGGGGTGTCTCGCTCACTAGCTGATGACAAGAAGCACTTCACTACCACTGTGTATGGAAATGGACCAGGATACCAGATCAATGGAACTCGCCCAGATGTGAATGGGACAATTTCATGTAAGTGTAGTCTACGCTTAGAGGCTTTCTAGAAGAGACCAAGTAATATTGTAGCTCCATCTTGTGGTGTAACAGAATTCTTGTTTGTACTGTAGTGGTTTTTACAGTTAGGTACAGCAATTCTGTCAACAATCCTCCTCTACATGTAATGTGCCAAATATTGTTTGTCTGAGTATGTAATATTTTTTATAAGATACATAAAATTTTAGGTTAGCAACAACATGTTGTTGATGATAAACCCCTTCTGTATGTAGAAACTGTAGTTTAGCAGTTTGTCTATGTGCCAGGAAATCCTGATAATGCTAATATAATGCTGTTTTGTCTTCAGCGGGTAATGATTACCGTCAGCAGGCTCCTGTCCCTCTTGATTCAGAAACCCACGGCATAGAGGATGTAGCCATCTTTGCCAAAGGACCCATGTCACACCTTTTCCACGGGGTGCAGGAGCAGAACTACATCGCCCATGTCATGGCTTATGCTGCCTGCCTGGAACCCTATGAGAACTGTGAACTGACCATGCCCAGCTACGCTGGATCCATCCACCCCAGCATGCTGGTCCTCTTGATGGGCCTCCTTCTCCTATCCCTCTGCTCTGTCTGAGATGGCATTGCAGATGAGATGAGATGATTTGTTCTCACCTTAGAATAACTATGCTATCTGACATTTTGGTTGAAAAATCAATGATTCTTTGCACTGTATAGCTGCACAACTTTCACAGCCATTTTAGGTAATTTCGTATTGTTCAGATAACCTCAAATGTAGATATTTTTTATGAAAAATATGGTTGTGTGAAATAGTTTGAATAAAGCATCTTTCAATATGTCATATGCTCTGCTATGCATAAAAATACCATACTTGAAGTAATGATACAAGCTATAGTATGTTGTCATTTTCTTCATCTTTTTCATGCTTCTCATAACCTTTAAACTCACACACATTTGCATTTTATTTTCATTTGTTCTCACAAAAGTATAAGCACATCCACAACCTACAACCCAATCCTTTTCATCCTACTTGACAGAGTATCTTGCCACTGTTGTATATTCAGGCCTTTCTTTCACTTTACACATAGCCAAAATGTGTAATGTAAAAGGGGCATACTAGTCACATTTGATTTTCTGTCACCCATCCTGAAACTTACTGAAACGTAATTTGATACAAAATATGCAACTCAAGACACTTTATTGAGATAATAATTTTTTCTTAAATTGATCAACTGCCTCAGTGATTATTATTTACAACATAGGGAGTGCCTTCTGACAGATGTGCTCTCCAATATAGTAATAGGCTAAGTGCTAGCAGGATGAGCAGCCTGTACTTATGAGCTTCAGCAAGATTTCATATAGGTCTAATCATGTAATGCACAATAGCCTATGGGTCTCTGAAAAGCTATTATAGCGTGAAACTGACAAAAATAAGTGCAACATGTGATCTAAAACTGATTAAATTAGGTTCCTGAAATGGCAGTTCATTTAACAGTAACAACGAAATCATCCTTTAACAGAAGACTCCGCATCTTTTATTGAAACATCAGGTAGTGATAAGTACCAGGGTGATACTGAAAATGTCTGAAAAGTATCGATTAAAACTGAACTCAAGTCTCACTTGATGCGGTGAAATGAAAGCCTTCTCCAATCAGAGACGTCCGTGGGCGGGACTTCCGCCTGCTGCCAGCAAGCAGCGCAGTTTATGAGCTTGGAGGGAAATTCAATCAAACTAATCGTGCAGCTCATCGGAAACTAAGATTCCGTGGATAAACAACTGGTCTTTAGTGTTTGATAACAAGACATCTCTTCGACTAAGAAGGGACAAAACTAAGACACACTAACTGTTTTTGACTAAATGTATTTTAAAACGTAACTTCAATATGTGCATGCTTGAATCGGTTTCTTCAGATTGGCTATTAACTTAGCTTAGCTAGCTAACGTTAGCCTCGATTAAAAGTTATCCACAGCTGCACGGGTCTTGGCTATGGGCTGATTCAGAAGATGCTGATAAACGACCATAGATAATTTATGAACGGATAATGCTGGTCATGGATCGAAAGGCAACGAGGCTCGAAAGTCAGCTGTGTAAAGCTGTGAACGATGGAGAACCCAGGTGAGGCTCAGCCCCTTTCTCTTTGTTTTGTCCAGACATGCCTTTTGTCGACACGATGCGACCGCTCAGACTTACCCACTGTTTCCCTTTAAATATTACTGTTAATTTTAATATTAATATTACTGTTATAATATACTGTTTGTATGGAATATAATGTCCCCATGACCTTTTTCATGTAACTAACATTGTTCTGAAGCGTTTCACTGATGAACCAGCCCGCAGTGAGACCTTTAGGGTCTAAAGATAGGCTGTCTTATGTTGTACAGACAAAGCCCCTGAGGTAAAAATAAAATATACTTGATTTGACTTCTTGTTCACTAACACTACATGTTTACTTATCCTGTGTCTACAACATCTACAAAGTACAGATAAACATGAAGACATGACATAAAGAGAGTAGTATTTAATTCTGATACTGATATCCCTACAGTAACGACCAATTTGATGATCCTTAGGTAATGCCCGGGTATATTGAGCGAGATGATACACCTACACCCTTAACCTTAGCCAATGTGTTGCAAGTCATCAGTGTTTCTGTTTCAAACACAAGAACAATTGATGTGACATTCACACATTCAGACACCACTGCTGCCATTCACTGTTGCGGCATGAGTGTCCATGAAAAGTAAACAAATAAGACACAAGCAGGCCCTCTGAAATGTTGATTGAAACACAGCAGCATCTACAACTTCAGCAATTACCCTTGAGTTGAACTAACACAGTCTCTACATCTACTAACATTTAGTGTGGTATTTAAAGAGATATTGTATACATGATTATGCTTTTTTCTTGCTTTTTGTCCAGCCTTCATCCTGACTGCAGCATTTTGCAGGACATCATAGCCTTGTTTTTCAGTACAGCAAAACTGTATGCTTCAGTACAATATGTCAGATGCTGCTAACAGAGATCTCTTCCTTGGCAGATCTGTACAACTGCTTCTTTCACAAGGTGCATGCCCTGACCTAGTGGGTAGTAAAGGGGTGGCTGCAATACACTTGGCTGCCGGCAAAGAGACCGAGAAGAATACACGCTGCTTAAAATTGTTGCTGCAATATGGAGCGGACCCCAATATCAGGTATGGTTAAACACACACAGTGAAAAGAAAAATCACCATGTTATCTTGTTAGATCACTTTCCTCTGTGTAGCTGCAGAACCCAATATGAAATAACCTTTGAAATCACTGTTAAATTTATTTTGATCGGTTTGACAAATGCAGCATTAGTAAGTCTTCCATAACATTTTGCACTGTATAACGCCTGCAGTGTCTTTCTGCATTATGTTCTCGCCAATATCCTCTTCCATTTGGACATAATGTTAAAATATAGACACAAGACACTGTAGAAATACTTTGAGTATAATTATAATGTAATGTTTTCTTGTGTACGTAATGTACAGCTTTGTTTTCTTGTATTTTTCCCAGGTCATCAGATGGCCTGAGTCCTCTTCACATTGCTGCACTGTGGGGATGTTATCAAAACTTGAAGCTGCTTTTGATGAATGGAGGGAACCCAAACACTAAAGATCATGTAAGAATTGTTTTTAGTGGTATAAATCATTTTCCATAGGGGAAGTGCATGGGCTAACTGTCGTACAGCTGAGCAGGACATTGGGAATCAGTTCATAGTTGAAAGTACACAGATGCATGCACATAAACACTCAGTATGATCTATTGTTAGCAGTGATTGATTATAATGTTCTTGCGATGGCTCTATATTGCTGTTGAATTAATACAGAAAAAATACCTGAGCCGTAACAAGGTATCTACTAATGTGTGGCATTAAATGTTTGGTTCAATTTGCTTTATGCCTGTTATCCCCTTAATGTATGTGCTTAGGAGGGGAAGACACCGGGGCAGCTTGCAGAGCAAGAGGAGAATCAAAAATGTGCCCAGCTCCTTCAGGAGTACCAGGCCAGCTCAGTGGACACAGAGGAGGACGACTTGCCTCAATTCCAATACTGTAAGAATGCCTCTTTGAAGGCTTCGTCTTGTTGGGGGTTACTTGATTGCAAGATTAATTTATTCAACTTGTGTTATTTCATAACTGAATAACTGGAAAGATATTATACAGTCATCCAGTAGTGTTAGACATTGCAAGGAGATACAGTATATTACAGTGAGAGTCAAGAGCTTGGCTACAAGCAGATCATATTGTAGTAGCAACACAATTATTACAGTAGTCGCATATGATTCTTAGGTGATAATTTACTTAAATCGCTTAAATCAGAATATCTTGTAGCAACATGGGGACTCTATATACCACTATTGATCTTGGAAACTGTATCATAAAAATACAGGGAACCAACCAATGTACAAAATGTTTTGTCAGCAAACAACACACTATTATTCCAGCCAAATAGACAATAAACACCAGGCTGATTGTCTGTAAAGACTAGATCAGATTGGTTGCAGCTAAATGTTTTCTAGAATTTGGATGGCTAGTGGTCATTTTTCACCTTTCTGGGTACTCTGTTAATTTTATTTTATTTGTTTACTCTTCACAGCTGTATATTCAGACCAAACAGACATTTCCAGCTATCCTGAATCAGACTACAGCTTCAGTTCACACTCATCTATGATAAGTGACTTTGGTGAGGCCCCGTTGAGCAGCACAAGGCGCTCCTCATTTTTCAACATGTCTTACATTAATGGAAGGCCAAGTTGCAGAGGAATATCATATAACAGACCTTCTGATATTGACACTAAGAGGCATCACCACAAGAACTGGAACAATTCCTCCTCACTTTGGGCATCTGAAGGTCCCTCCATATTATCAAGCACTCGCATGTCTGCAGTGGAACATGCAGTTGCAATGCCGATTCTTAAGGATGATGACAGTGTGTTCACATCAATGGAAAATGAGCCCGCTGCTACAACTGATAGCAGAATCTCCCCTTCCAAAAGAGACACACTCCCAGTGTTTCACTGTAGGGGAGCAGTGCGGAAGAGTGTGAGCTTCAAAGATGTAGATGAATATTTCCCTGTTTTTAGTCCTGAATCTCCCAAACATCAGCCTGCTGTTGATGGCAGTCAGTATACCAGCAACTTACCGTTTGACCTGTCTGAGTACTCTGACTTCCTGGATTCAGAACGCATGGCCACTGTTTTAGACAAGCAGGGCATCGATGTCACATCGCCCGATCACGTTTATGTTTTTTGCAGGGAGAGCAGTGAGAGCACAGAAGAGGAAATGGAAAAAACAGTCATCAGTCATTGTGCTTTGGAGGACAGTGATGATGAACTGGAGGGAGTACATGTAAAAGAGGCTCAGGTGAATATACCAGAACAGCCAGTCTGTTCCCATGTAGGCAGCAGTAGCAGTGGGACTGGTAGTAGTCATTATAGTAGCTGTGAGAGTGATCATTACACCAGTGCTCTGGATGTTTCTGTAAACCCCAGACATATTTTACTCACTGTGGAAGAGGAGGTTTCTGATCGGGCAGAATCTGCCAAAAAGATTCAGATTTCTACAAACTCTGATTCTAAATTTACAAGGCAAGATGGGAATCTTCCACCTGTCCAAACAAAACCCCAGATAGATTACAAAGCTGAAGAAAAAAACCCAAACACAGATGTATTTAAGGCTTGTAGTGATGCTGTAGTGGACTCTTCAAGTGACGGCGGTCTTGACCAGCCAGTGGCAGACAACCCAATAGACGATGTAGCTGAACCCTTACAGGAAAACAATCCAGACCATTCATTCAAGCCAAGTCCTTTTGTAACAGGCAGGACTCGCTCGAGGCTGAGTCGCTGCTCACTGAGAACAAGCAGAACCCCTGAAAGCCTCCTCTTCATGTCTTCTCTGTTTGAAGAGACCCTCCCCACACCAGTTCGAACACGCCGCCAGACGCCCAGGTCTCAGAGCAGTGAAGACTTCTACAGTTCCCCACATGCACCTTGTTATACACCTTCCTATTCAGGGAGTAGCACAGGAGGCGACTCCCTGCCTGCTGATTTCCAGGACACACAGTCCAGCACCCTCAGAGCTGGTTCAAGTGTTAGTAATAGCCAAGCTGACACTCTTATCCTTTCCAAGAGCGTAACTGACTCACAGACTCTGTCTGACACAGTCATACTGGAAAACAAAAAGGACTCAATGGACGCTTATGAAAGAAACCTTGCAGAGGTTATACTGGCCATGCAAGGCCACAATCTTGCTGAAGGCGGGGATTTTCTGACTGATGATCTGAGTACAGACGAGGCAACATTTAAGAGAAACGTAAATGATGCCACTGGTAAGGACAAAGTAGACCGCCTGAAAAACGAAGATGTCTGGATCACTGAGGACTGTAGCTCTCAGACAGACTCTTTGTCATCTTCATCCAGCTCCAGCTATTTTTCCCCAAGGAGGTCCAGGGAAGACTCCGACCTTCCTTGCACTCCAGGCACTGGGTGCACCCCCAGGTACAGCATGAGCCGGCTGTCGAGCTGCCGCAGGCCACAGCACCTGGCTAACCTCTCTTACACCCCTGGAGGGCGTCCACTCATTCAGGATCTGGACGAACCTGTGGAGTACCTTTACACTGATACGGAACAGGGCCACAAGCTGATTGAGACCCACATCCCGCCTACAGCAAACACCTCACTCAGCTCCAGCATGAGTACTAGCAGCAGTGAAGAGACCATCCTTTATGACTGGATCTCCATGCAGACTGACATGATGAAGAACAAAGGAAAAGAGAACCAGAAGCCCCAGATGGTGGTACAGAAGGAGGAAAATCATGAGCACAGTTTGTTGCGGGAGACCAAAGGGATGACTGACAAGGAGCTGAGATTGAGGCTAGTAGAGCTGGGGGAGAGCCCAGGCCCTATCAGCAGCCGTACCAGGCCCACCTACATGCGACGGTTGTGCCGTCTGTTGCAGGAGTCAAACACCCAAACACCACATCACCGGAAGCAGTTAGACCAGCCACAAACGGGTAATGCTTGTGTGTTTTATATATGATTGTTGGTTACTTTTTACCTAACTTGAGTTATGATTAGGTAATGATAGTATTTCTAAACTTGTGGTTTGGGTTGTGAGCAGTTTTGGGGTGAGATAAGGATGTGTGAGAAGATAAATGCAATGTAAAAGTGTTTTCTATAATAAAGTCATAATTATGTTACTATTTAAATTAATGTTTCTCCTGTGAAGTAATGAAATATTTGAGGCCTTAAGTTGACCCTTAAATCACTCTTATGTGGAAGCATTTGCGGATGTGGAAGCACTTTGTGGATGGATTAGATTAGGACCACTGAACAAATGAGGCATATTAATACACTTTTTGTCATTTAGCTGAGATTCACTATCACTGACACAGCAAGTCATTTTCCTGTGTTCTCTCATTTTTATTTCTGTAGATTTAGGTTATAGTCCAGAATTGTGTCGGGCCCTGCGGACTTTCGAGTTGCCTGAATGCCAGGTTGACGAGCAGGCTTTGTGCCAGCAGTTTGACCAACCAGATCAAAACAGAAAGTGGAGGGAGGGCATCATCAAGTCCAGCTTCAACTACCTGCTACTTGACCCAAGGTCTGCGGTTTCTCACATTGATTTTGATTGAGTTTTTCTTTGCTTCCTTCTGAGCAATATTGGAAGCTCTCTAAGTAAAAATGACACCGCATAGAAATGTGCCTTATGTGACGAGACGCTGTCATTCTTATTTTGCATGAAAGTAGTTTCTACAATCGACTACTTGTAATTTGGACAGGAGGCTATGCTGTGTATGCAAAGCTGTCGTTCTTTTGTTTAGACAAGAATATGCTATGTTAGTTTGTCATTTTGGGATTTGCTTTGAAGGTTCATACATCGACATTTGCCCCTAAATCAGAGAAAGGAGCTAGGTTTGTCAGTTGTCGTTTATAAATGGGATGAACAAGAAAGCTAAAAAATGTTGCAAAAACATTTGCCAAAATTGCAACAGTGTCACAGTAAGGAGAGTGTTATGAATTCTTCTCCATACAGTATGTCTGTTTTTGTCTTTTGCAATTATCAAATCACTTCCTATAAGGTAAACAGAGCTAAAACAACACTAACAAAACAAGGTCAATGGCTGATTTTGTAGATTAATGGACACTTGGAAAAACTGTAAAATTAACGAACTGTCTTCTGCATTAAGAAATAATCCATGTTCAATGTCTTTAGGACTGACTTGTTTCCTCTTCAAGTCTACCCACACCTCTGTATTAGAGATAAACAACTTTCAGCCTCAAAATAGAATTAAATGTATCTCCTTTTTTTTTTTTTTTTCTGCCAGAGTGACAAACAACCTCCCATTCCGCAGTCGCACCATAACTCCACAGGAGTGTTTCCAGACATTTATCCACGCTATTTTTTATGTGGGCAAAGGAAAACGCTCCCGCCCCTACAGCCACCTGTATGAAGCTTTAGAGTACTACAAAGGAGACAAGACCTCCAAGGTAAGGCAGTGCACAACAGTCTTAGTCAATTAAATCAAAATAAATGAGACGTAAAATGTTTATTTAAAACACTGTCTCTTTCTTCTCTGTGTGACAGAAATTGTGCGCCAAGGTACAGCACATACTTCAGGTTTGGAACGCCGAGCAGGGTGTCATCTCTCTGCATTGTTTTCAGAATGTCATTCCAGTGGAGGCTTACACAAGAGAGGCCTGCATGGTGGAGGCCATTGGTGAGTACAAGAGGTGGTGGAATCACCCTGTTAAGTGGCAAACAGTCATGTAATCCACTGGAGAACTCCTGGTTTGTCTTGGGGTCTGGAATCACCATGTCAATACTGTCATGGAGTATTGGCCAATTATTGGTCACAAATAAAAAATATAATATGACAGAAGTAAAAAGACCTCTGGCAAAAAAAAGGCTGTATCTGTTGACTTAATTCTAACTGAACTTATCTCAAATTAAAGGACTACCACGTGCCTTCTTGGCCCTATGCCCACCCATTTGATTTTGAAATCATGTCTGCCTGTGCTCTGCCCCCTGCTGACACAAATCATTAATGCATCTGGCTGGTTTCTGGCTCTGTTCCCTCCAGTCTAAAAATGGCTGCTATTACCACAGTCCTAAAAAACAACAACCTGGTACTGTCCTTGAGGACGTTAAGATCTACAGATTGCTTCAGATTCATATGTCCAAAAACAATCTATGGGAAGAATTTCCAAGCCTTTACCACCATCCATCCTGACAGACTGCTTCAGTGATATAAATGCTTGGATGACCTGCCATTACATTAAACTCAAACTCAGGATAGAATCTGAGGCTATCCTCATTGCCCCCCAGCCAAACTTCGCAAAGTCTCCCATCCCTGGTTTTATTACATCGTCTGTTGTTGAGGTAAAAAATCTTGGTGTAACTTTAGACTTTACCTGAAGAACTTTACAGACAACGCCCCTCTTTTTCCCACTCTCACGCCTTTATTTAACCTCTGGATTACTGTAATGCCATTCTCCTTGGTGTAACAATATGCCCAGAATTTGAGTCCCAAAAGTTGTCTGCCACACCTGCCCTCTAGCAACTGCACTGCACTGGTTAAATACCGCATTTGTTACTTCTTGTCTATAAATCCCTCCATTGCTTAGCGCTTCCCTACAAACCAATTTTCTCCATCCCCACACACCTACTCGCTCACTACGCTCCTCTGATGTCAATCTACTCCCCACATTATGGGTGACAAGGCCTTTAGTGTGGCTGACCCTAACCTCTGGAATACTCTCCCTCAACTGTTGCTTCTTTTAAGTTGCAACTGAATACTCACCTTTTTAGATTAGCCTTTCCTGGTGCTTCTTAATATGTATGTTTATAAATGTAGTCTTTTATCTGTCATCAGTCATACTCTTGCCACTTCAGCCATTATTAATTGCAGAGAGTGTGTTTATGTGTCCACTCAAATAATATGCTTACCCATTTTGAAATTTGCTTGTTATTGATATTTTGCCCCACAATCAAGTCAGTAGCTAGGTCTCATCAATCAAGCAACATGTTATTGTATAGTTATTTGATAGACTGTCAGTTGTGTTCCTAAAACCTTATGTTAATGGATATATGCAGCATGTTTTGCCTTGTTTTCCTTTTTGGAGTTTGCAAGTTCTGACTGCTGCTTGTAGAAATTAACACAAATTAACAGCAAACTTAAAGCATATTACACCATTTCAGTATGTCAATAACCATGTCCAATTGTCCCAGGGTTGAAGATGCTTACCAATCAGAAGCGAGGGGATTTTTACGGCGTGGTGTCCAACTGGCAGGTGAAGAGGAAACGGGAGCTGGGCATCCACATGCTCTACAGGGCCATGCAGATCTTCCTGGCCGAGGGTGAGAGACAGCTCAGACCAGCAGACATCAGGCAGTAGTGACCCACACTGGAGGGACGGTGGTGTAAACAGCCACAAAATGCAACACAGCAATACCACTAGTTCAGGGTACAAAGCATTCCTTCTTTGAACAATTCTGCACTCAAAAGTTGGATGGGATTTACAACATCAAGATCCTTTGAGATGTTGCCTGGAATTTATTGTTTGAACTCATACAGTTTGTCAAACGTCTGACATCCTCTGCTAATGTTTACATCATTTGAACTTTTCAGTTAAAGGTGGGGTATGCAATTGTTTGTCGTGAATTTCTTTTAGTATATATGCATTATGTGGATTGGAGATGCATTTCCAAATTACAGTGCTTTTAATCTGCCCAGATGTGACAAAAATGATGATTCCACAAAATAATGCAATGCTGGAATAATAGGATTGTGTAGAGACTAGAGAAAAAGTAAATGAATGAACATCAACATGATTTGGAAATCAAAGCTGTGAAACTGCAGGTCTCTCAGAACTCACAACAAATAAGCATGACAAAAATCTTTTTCCCAGTAGGACACTTTTCTGCTCAAATGCTGTAGTACTAATGCCTTTTTCAGATTGATCCACAACCAATTTAAAATGTATTTCAGCATTATCAAATTAGCTGGTGTCATGTTGTGCATAAATAAGTCGATGCATAATGTCTTAAATATTATAGGAGCTGCGCAAAACATATGAAGCAATGAACTGTATATTTTTAGAAACTTAATGTGTAAGATGTGATATCATTTGTTTAAAAGGCTGAATTTTCATTTTATTTTTTGTGCCATTTGGTTATTTGAGGTATGTTTAAAAAAATGCATTGCAGGCAAGCCGATGATATGATAGCGTCCAATAGTAATAGGTGTTTGTATGTATAAATTTATCTTAGGGGTGTCAATATATTGAGAGATATATAGAAACTGGGTGCTTAAGTTTGTCTGTAGTACATGAGCACTTACATTGTTATGATCAGTGGACTGTCCAAGTTAGTAGCAGAACTAGTTTGCGTTAGTTCAGGTCATTGGATTACAGCTATTTGGTGTTATAATCCACATAATTGTGTTACCTAGTGAAAACAGTGAAAAATGGATCTTTATCAGTTAAAGAAATCCCAAATGGAATTAACGTTTTTCTTGAAAAGTTAGCTCACAATATCATCTCATGGTCTACATATTGATGTCTAGAACAAGTGAGCTTCAATACCATTCATTATTTCCTCAGGGTAATACACTTGATCAGTTATCTGGAAGCTGCACATATTCACACAAAATGCATTAATACTATTTAAAAACATAATTTTGTAGTTTAGAGATATATTTGTTTAATTCCCAATCCACAGATAAAAATAAAAAAGCACTAGATCATAAGGGGAGTAAGTCATCTGACCTATAGTATTTAGTTTTAACTATGAAATGACTAATGAAAATAATTACCTGTAATAATTCAACCATAAAACAAGTGATAGTAGAATTACTAGGTATGTAGACAACTTTTCAGTTTTCATTTAAAAAAAAGCACGTTCATTGTGATCTGTTTGATATGTTTTTTTGACATTCAAGAAAACATATCAGTCATGTGTAACGATACATGTAAAAAATCTTTGCATTTCATTATGATACTTCACTTCTACTATTACTGCAATATTTTATTGCCCCTTTATTTTGCATGTATGTAAATGTAGTAAAAGACAAATGATTAACCTGAACTGGATAACTCTTGTCATTTTCATGTCCTGTTCTTTGGTGTCCCTCTAGTGGACAAAGGAAGTCATTCATTTTTTTCTGTCTCGAGTTCTCGTCATGCACTGACTGGTCTTCATCCACAAGGCTTCAATTCAAGTTAGTGTTTGGTGTTGATGACAAAAAATCTATACAAATGTTACCATTTTAGCAAGGGCAGTTGCCTTAATCCTACATAAGAAAACCCCACATAATTTAGGCTTGAGTGTGCCATAAAGCCATTTGCTTTGCAAGAACTGTTCAATTATTTTTTCTTAAATGATGACGTCTAATTTGGGAACAATAGTCTTTAATTACTGTTATCATGACTCAGATCTACAGATTCGTGCCTAGTGGTTAGCCATTATTTTTTTTGTTACAAGCATTGATGTGGTTTATACAACAAACACCATGAGTATGAAAGTACTCACATTTGTTAAATGCAAGCATTATGGTTTGGTGAGACATTCAGTTACTTGACTGAGCATGGCTGCATATGTCCTGTGAATATTTGCTTTCCCATGCACACATTTCACATGTATGGACTCTTGAGATAATGATGTTAAATGTGCAGAATAAATAGTGTGCAATAAAATAGTATATTTAAAAACATTTAAAATATTAGTGATACTGTACCAATCTACAATATTATATTGCAGAGCTATTAAAAGCTTCAAATTACAGTTTGGACTCATGTGGTGTCTTAAACGAAACTAAAAGAACATGTCAAGGGGGGTTTTCCGGTTGCACCAGTAGTGTTCTTCATGTCTTCTGGTCAAGCAGTGGTTATGATACCGAATCAGCACTGTTCATTTTTGCACTGAAATACTGTGCAGGTACTTTCCCATCTAGATAGGCCAGATGCCTGTAGAAACAAGCATATAAGTCTCTTAGCAGCGTGTGAAAGGCAGTCAGTACCTTATGTATGGGTGTTTTAGCAGCACACTTTCATCATGTACCAATGGAACCAAACTAAACCAGCAGGTAAATGTGAAAGCACAAACTGTGACACAGTAGTCATTTTGTAATAGATAAAGACAAATGAGCTTAGCTAGCGTACACACACACACACACAGAAGAGTCATAGTAGACATAGTATAAAATATATTTTGCCTTAATATACTTCAGTTCTTTTAGGTAGATTGAGAATTTAAATTAACCTGATATGGTTTGAAAGCTACTGTATTAACTAACTAGCTAACTAGCAGACCGGGGTACCACCACCTAAATCTGTATTAATCACTGAGTTGATAAAGAGTTCATTGCAAAAGCAAATGCAAAATGTTTTATGTGAGTGGACAATTTGTCCAAGGTGTAGGCCTGTAGTTCAACAAAAATACAGATATGAGTGGTCTACCCTAGTCTGCTAGTTAGCTGATTAGTCAAGATTACTAGCATACTACTTGGTAAATTGATAATAAGCTTGAAAAGTGTTGAGTAGCTAAATGAGCTATTTTTAAACAATAAACTGGTTTTCTAATTGTTATAATTTTACTCAGATTTTCACTGTTTTTGTGGATGCTTAATGAGACACTCAACTTTGGGATCCTAGCCTATCGGCTTATGAATATTTACTTTTTCAAGCCAAAACTAAAACAATTTCATATTAATTATTTACATTCCTTGTCTTAGATTTTAATCAAAATGCCATTTAACCTAAGATGAAATATGATTGTTGCCATTTGCAAGGGGTTTTTTTTGTGTTTTTTTAAATTGTGGACTGCTCAGACAGCTTGTTGGTGTTTTGCACACATTTTTGTCATAACCATGTTGTTGTTTTCTGTATCTAATTTGGATAATTATTGAATCAAAGAAATTCTATAACAGTTTATAGACACAATGTATAGGATCACTTGCACTGAAGAATTAATTATTTACAGTATATATTTTATATATCTCAAGTGAGAAATTATTTACATTAATAGTCTCATGCAAATGTACAGAATCAAAGTAGATAGTATATGAGATTTTTTTTTTTTTTTTTTTTTTTAAATGCAGCACTTGTTCAGTATAGTGTTTCTTGCAATAAAATTTGAGGTGATTTATCCAGATATGAGTGGTCTACTCTTGTCTGCTAGTTAGCTGATTAGTCAAGATTACTAGCATGCTACTGGGTAGTTGATAATGAGCTTGAAAGTGTTGAGCAGCTAAATGAGCTATTTTTAAACTAGAAACTGGTTTTCTAATTGTTATAAACGTTTATTTTCACTCAGATTTTTGTGGATGCTTAATGAGACTTTGGTATCTGGATTTATCGGCTTATGAATTTTTACTATTTCAAGCCAAGGTTCCAGGGGATTTAACTAAAACTATTTCTAACTAATTTTATTTACATTCCTTGTCTTAGATTTTAATCAAAATGCCATTTAACCTGAGATGAAAATATGAATCTCATTATTACATAGAAGTCTACATTGAGCCTTAACTGAATTCAGACAAATAAAGAGGCAATAGTGAAAAAGTTGATTTGTTTGCATTTTTGTTTATGTTGAGTCATAAGTTTATAGACAAAATGTATAGGACCACTAGCACTAAAGTATTTCAATTATTTAAAGTATATCAATATATATTTTATATTTTTCTCTAACAAGAAATTATTTAAATTAATAACTGCAAATGTACAGAATCAAAGTAAATCGCATACAAGATAAAAATAAATAAATTCTTCTAATTCAGCGTAGTGTTTCTTGTAGTACAATTTGAGGTGATTGGGGGCAATCACATTCACCTGTGACAATAATTCCTGACTGTTAATGTAAAAAGTGGCGTGCTGCTTTGATCAGTGGCATCAATCTACAGCAGACTGTTTTTAACTTTCTGAATGTTCAAAAGGACTTGCCTTTGACTCTGTTGCATACAACCACATCACTTTCACATCTCTAACCAAACCAAAGAATGAAGGAATGAAGAAAGACCCACCACATGACTGAGGGCTGAATTTGTCAGAATTTATTTAATAAACAATCAAAGAGCATGTGGCAATATAACAAATACACAGTCAAGTTCTACAACTTAATGGTTCTTAAATGATCAGACAGAAAGATGTGAATTAAAAGCAAATACATGTTTTTGAAAACTATCTGTTCTACAAAACCTCAACATTGTAAAAAATGATGGCGTTTTAACATATTTAGATTTATACTGTTTTAGCTGAAGGTCTTAACTTGAATAATTCATATTATGAAATTATGACTTTTAATGATTAAATCCTTTATCCAAAAAGGTCACTTACCATGTTAGAATGCATCTATTTATATTCAACATATTCTTGTGGGGTTTTTTCATGTAACATTTACAACTAAATCATTTATCAGACCCAAGCCATACATTCACTGTTTATTTTTCTTTAAAGGTCATTTTCTTCCAACTATCTCTTGCATCTTTTTTCTTCTTCCTTTGCTGCTGTAGCAAGACTCGGACTGCTCAGCGTGATCGAGATGCAATCTGAACTGCCTGTCAATTCACAACGCTTGTGTGTGCCTGTTGTTGGTAGGAGGCGAACAGGGGAGACAGGCGGAGAAATAAATAATGCCATCATCAGCATATCGTGATGTTATTCCTTTTGACGTTTGGATGAAATCTGGGACACAGTTGCATTCATCGTTCAGTGAGCTCTTCCACACAGTTAAACCCACCGACAGCAATGAATGTTGATTGTGACCTTTGCTGTGGTTTGAAGTATTTTTGGTTTGTTTGTATGCAGTGCTCTTCTTTTGATTGTTCAATGATCCATTGGCCATGCCTGTGTGCAGGTTTCTGCATGTTTTTTTTTACCTCTTTGTCCTTCTTTTTTGAGACACCAAGTGATAAAGGCTGGCCGCAGGGTACAATCAACGGTCGATGGTTTTTTCAATTTATCTGAAACTCACCGACAGCGTTGAATGTTCACTGGGGCGAGCATAGACCTGATGGTGACCAGGGATGACAGTCTGCTTAGAGATGCAGAGGGAGCCTCTGTAGACAGAGAAGCTTCTAACTCTCACCCTGTCACTTATTCATTCTCTGAGCTGGATGGTCACCGGAAAAGTCAGGAGTGTTTAATCGTGCCTTGATGATGCTCTCTTTGCTACCGATTAGCTTATAAACTGAATATTATTCTTTATTTATTTACACACTTAGACACTTACTTCTAGAGTTGCTGCGGATATACTTACATCATGAATACCTAATTCTGCTTTTCTAATTAATTAATCATTTTGCTGATGCTTTTATTCAAAGAGACTTACAATTGCTAAATGTCAGCGGTTGCATGCCTCTGGAGCAACAATGGGTTAAGTATTTTGTTCAGGGATGTTACAGTGGGAATCTAACCAGGGTCTCCCACACCAGAGACATGTCTCTTATCCACTGCACTACTTATCCGTCTTTCCGCACCTGATGTTGGCGATTTATATTCTGTACCTCAGGATAAGAGACAGAGAAAATTATTAATATGAAAGAACAAACATGCTGATATATATGTATGCATTTTATTAGATTTATTATTAAAAAGAAGATCTGCACCCTGAAGCAGAACTGGCTTTGTTCCTCCTCTTCTCAAATCCTGGCAATGGCATCGGCATCGAGTGCTGCGTGCACTATTAACTTTCATGACACGTGTCATTGTGACACTAAAGACACTTCACTGCAAGTAGCAGTTAGAAGAGGGAAGTCATCTTGAAACTCCTGACTCATAGCGGGTTTTAGTAAACACAGCACCTGGGTGGAGGCTGCAGCAAGTTGTCATATGCTGTGTTGAAGCATAGCTGTGCGGCCTCTAGAGAGGAACTAGTATGCCTCGAGGGCTTTATGCAAGGTGGAAGATGAGGAAGACACTGGGTATGAAACTGTCGACTCACCCAGATCACTGCAGTCTGTTTCACTATGATGTAGCACTGTGGCTGAAGACCAGGGTGTTTTTCTTTCTTCTTGCACTAATACCAGTAAAGGAACTGTCCGCCATCCTGCATGAAAGGTTTTATTACATACTGCTGAATCACTGTTGATCATCCTGAGAAAAAAAGTGCAGTGTTTGTGAGAAGCAATTAGATATGATGTGACAATACAACTGTGGCGGTGAGTCAAGATGTGGTTGGATGATAAATATGGTGCAGGATAAGGGATGACTAAGATGATGTGGTGGATATCTCATGTCCTGCCAAATACTCATTTCACACAGAACACAGTAAAAAAAATTAAAATAACACTATGACTCTAGTAGTCATTACTATTAAGCAAAACAAAATGAATATTACTCTGAAGCTTTTTAAAGAAGTGAATTTCTACTACATGCCTGATGATGAAGATTATGCTGCTTCTCTTCTCTCTTTTGGATCTACTCTGTCATTTCCCATACCTTAGTTACTCTCAAAAGTGTGTCAGTTGTTAGCAAAAATAAAACATGCTTATCACTCAAAATACCTTGATCAAAAACTGTGTGCCAACCACTGACATGTCTCCCAAGCTCGGACCAAAAAGTACAGTCCTTGCTGTGAGGGATACCGCTAACTCGGTCTCTCTCCACTCTCCCGAACAGTGATTTGAGTGACAGAGTTGGAATTGACAGAAGTGGATGAGAAAGAATGTAGCTTTAAAAGGTCTTCTCTGGCCTCAGGACGAGGGTGACAGTGGGAAGAAAGATTCAGGACACGCAGCTAAAGAGAGAAAGGGCCCTGAGCTGACAATGTGGCCCTAATCTGAATGACAAGGTCTGCACATCAGCCCTCAAACCAGCCTGGGTAGTGTGGGGTGGGGGCAGATGATGACGGAGCTAGGGGAGAGAGGACGGAGAACGGAGAGAATGAGAGGAATCAGAAGAGACGGGGGGGGGGGGGGGGGGGGCAGGCAAGGGTGTCATTCCTTCAAACATGCTGGCCTTAATGGCATGGACAGCTCTGACATTTAACCACTGAATCATTTTTAGATAAGTGGATGTGGTAGTTTGTGTGTAGACAGTTGTGACTTTTTTGGGGATGTTTTTCTGGCTAAATATAAAGAGCTTTGAAAAACACAAGAAAAAAAATCCACTAAGGAATAATTACAGAACCTAATGAGTGAAACAACTTCAATTCATTGACAAGGGCAGATGGAAGAGAACCACGTTTGTGACTTGCAGCAAATTGCTGGACCAAAACTCAGACGCGGGAGATGTGACGCTCTCCTCATTCAGTAACTACTGTTGAGGTTGTCTTGAGCAACAACGTAACCTACAGTTTGTTCAGTGACGCTTCCTAGTGGAAAACCACAACTGTAATGGACATCTACCAAAAGGGGAATTACTATGAATGTGATACAGGACACCACAGATAAAGGCCACATATGCTGAGCAGATTGTGAATGAAAGGAAGCTATAAAAAACTTGCTCTAAGGAGCGCTAACAAAACCAAACTAGCAGAACAAGTTTGTGTAACAGATACTGTCAAAGTTTCACAATTAGTACTGTAGACCCTGTCAAAACACCCTGATTCCAGAAAGACAAATCATACAGGAGGTGATCGAATTACTCCAATATAACAAAAGAACCATCTGTACTCGGCAATACAGTAGCGTGTGAATGTGCTGTTCTTTTTTTTATGTCAATGGATATCCTTTCATCAGTAGAGGTTAAGGGGAGAATGACGGGCCAAAGGAGGGGACAGTTTTTGTGCTACTTTTTGTCCACCTGGGAGTATTTTTCCTCCACTCTTCCATCTTGCTGTTGTTATTGTCCCTCCATGAAGATCATTTTAGGCATTCACAAGCAAACTTTTGCTTTATAAAAAACATGCATGAAATATAAAACAAAATATATCTATGAGACAAAGTCTTTTTTTTAAATCATAAGACAGGTTGAATATGAAAAATACAAGCTAAAGAGAAAACCATTTCCAGAGATAAAGGGTTAGGTTTAGCAAATGGAGCTGGATAAGGCAAATCTAAAACTCAATACAAACGAAAACTACAATTACTTAACCTGCTACACAAAACTAATTATGGAGACATTGATGAACTGAATAATGATGTTAGCATTCCTTATTAGCAGCTATTTTTGTTTTTCAAGCACTTTGTATGGAAGAAACTAAATGTATAAGATTTCTGGGTAGTTGCAATTGACAAAAATTTTATCTGACAGAAATCCTGAATGTCCACACACTCTGAATACTGAAATATAGGCCTCTCATTATTTTGTCTATTTGGGTTCTTTTTTTTAATCAACAGAAAATTCTGTGTTTCATTTCAAAGTTAAAATATTACAGTGAACGTATTTGAAAAAAATCCGACAAAAAAAACACAACTTTTGCCAGCTAGTTTCTAATCAGGCTTTACTACTTGATTTGCATAAAAACACTTAAGTGGAAAGCCCAGTTCATGTATGTCTCTTATTCACTGTCATGACTGTGAATTTCTCTCTCCCCCTCCCCCCTCTCTCTCTCTCTCTCTCTCTCTCTCTGGAGGGGGGGGGGGGGGATTCCTGGCGAGGGTGCTGCGAGTTGTTGCTCTCTGCCTGCAGGTACAGACCGGCCTCCTCTGTCTGCCTGTCTGCAGATATCATACCGCGACGTGATCTGTTTAGCTGCCTGACTTAATGCTCACCTGCTCACGCGCCTCTGGCTCTCTCTCTGTGTGTGTGTGTGTGTGTGTGTGTGTGTGTGTGTGTGTGTGTGTGTGTGTGTGTCTATATTGACTTCTTCAGTCTCCTCACAGCTGGAATGCCATCGCCCTCTTTATCTGTTGCCCTGCGATTACAGACACACACACACACACACAGAGAAAATGATAGATGGACTTATACTACAATGACAAGATATTTACAAATATAAACACTATTAATCTTCTAGCAAACAATATGCAGTCAACAATAAAACACACACACACACACACACACAAATGGACTGACAAGCTGGAGTGGAAAGAATGGGGCTGATTACAGTAACTGGGGGAAAGGAAGTGAGGAAGGCAGGATTGTGCGTGCACTGAAACATGGACAAAAAACCTCTCAACATTTGCAAGCATTTACTAAACTACCATTTTCAAACATGCTTTTCCATCCAATGTCAATACATTTCAATCTGTACAGAGAACAAGTGGTGTAATTCCCACTGATGCCGGAACTGTATGCTTTCCTATGTGTTGAGAGGCTTTGAAAGCATCGCGTGTCAAGCGGTGTATATTAGGTAGTATATTATTCGTTATTTCATCCTCAGGTTGGAACGGCGCTGACAGATGCAGGCTGACGTGTACAACCACGCTCACAAAACGCACACAGACACACTTGAGTAGGGGTCTGAGTCCAGCTGGAGGTGGTCTCCTGCCAAACCTGCAGGCAGGCTGACTGTATTTATATTCATCACATACACACTGACTGGACCTGACAGGACACACACACACACACACACACACACACACACACAGCTGGGGAAAAATATCTACTGGTGAATAAATCAATATTTGAAGGGCAACCTGCTATCCTAAAAAACGAGAAACTATTTTACCTCCTCTGCGGCATTATTCTGTTATTCTGACTTCTTTTTCTGCTATTTTATCTACCATAGCTAAATATATCTACATTTAAAAAAAGGGAAGGCCATTGAGAAAAGAGAAATAGAGGTGGATGTGAGAGAAAAACAGACAACTGGCTGTAGACTAGCACCAGTGAGTAATGTCATGAGAGAGGAGAGGACTGGGGAGAAAAAGCGAGAAGAGAATAATAGCCAATAGGCAGGGCGAGCGACAGGAGCAAGAGAGATGGAGTGCCTCCTTCTCTCTCTCTTTCACACACACAAAGCAGTGAGAGACTCTGCAGGGTGCCAAATAATAACCTTCCTTGTCATTATCATCGCCTAGCCAAACCACTCTCCACTCCTCCTCCACCTCCTTCCGTCTTCCAACACAATCATTGCCCTATCGTTTACAGTGGGCCGCTAAATGGGAACATCAATAGACACATCCATTAGCAGTGCAAGTCCTTTCCTCTCTGATTCTCAAGCGCTTTAATAGCCAGCACACACACTCTCATGCCGCACCTCGGCCGACAGTTAACCAAGCTAGCCCCAAACTGGAAAAGGAGAGATGAATGTGTCATTACATCTCGTTAGTAATACGGTTGCTGTGAGGGAGGTGCCATCAGTTAACCTGAAGCTAGAAAACAAGAGGATGGGGCTGCTTTCTGATTTAAGTAGCAACAATCCTAGAATTTCCCCTCTTATTTATGTATTTATTTATTTTGCTCATGTCTACCACTGCCATGCCGTCATATTTTTGCACTGTACTTTTCAAAGATATTCTCCCAAAAATGTTTTTCACTGACTTTTCTGTTCAAGCCTTTGTAGGTGGGCAGATTTATAGTCTTTTCTGGCAACTTTGGAGACGTTTTCCCTGGGAACGACCTGCCAGACATCAGGAGTTTAAACCTGAAGTGTGCATAAAAATTAAATACTACTGAGTTATATGCATTAGTAATAGAAGCTAAACTCATAAGCAATATGTATTGTTATAGAAAATTTAGACCAATATTTATGTGGGGTTTTTTGGGACAGGTCAATGCAAATTAATTATATTTGTTTTTTTTACTTGTGAGCTATTGTTTTCAAAACAGTTGATAAGACACACACATAAACAGAGATTCAGTGGTCATCAAGTGCAAACTATCATCCTAAATAATAACAAAGAAAAACAAAATCAATACAAAGAGGCCAATCTTATTTAGAACTGCATTAATAACTTGTTAAGCTCAGTCTGAACTTTAGTCACTGTAACTGTAGATGCAAATTAACATGGGCAGCTGTTTGACAGTTTAATGAACATCAAAATAAAACCTGCCGCAACCCATCCAAAACAGTAGCGGATGAGAAATAGATAAGGAGGGACAAGAAGGGCAAACACAGGGAGTGAGGCGGAGGGGAGAGTTTCCCACAATGCCGCCTCACACACTGTAATTTCAGCACGCACGTTTTTTTTATTTGGATGGAGGGCAAAGCAGGATGCTGCGAAGCCTGGGAGGTGCACGGGGTGGGTAAGGGGTTGGATATAAGTTTTTTTTTTGTGGAATATGTAGTGTGGCTGACGTGTGGGGATTGGTCTTGACTGATGGAAATAGAAAGAAAAAAGAAGCAGACTTTCTACATGCACACACACACAGACACTACAAATTGCATGCATGAGAGCAAACACATACCAGTACTACATAAAATGGCACTAAGATTTTTTCCAAAATGAGACATCCCAATTTCGTTTTCTTTTCATAGCAATTTAATAGCACCAAGAAACTACTTTTCAGAGTGTAATGTGATGTTAAATTACTGAACAAAATACTGAATTTAGGAAATTGTGGAATACAAGTAGTCAATTTGTCTTTACATTACTCAGAAGAAAACAGCACAAGATAATGAGCTTGTTTTCTCACTGTTATTCTCCCCCTAACTCGGTGGTCTCTGATTCTTACCGTAACAGGCGGTGTGTGTGTGTGTGTGTGTGTGGCAGGGTGATGGCAGACCGCAGACAGACTCTAGGTGCCATTGCATGTGTGTGTGCGTGCCTCCTTCATGTCTGGACCTGGGCAGAAAACAAACAGGAGAAGAAAGCACAGGATAAATTCAGGTGTTACTTGGTAAACCATGTTATTAAAATATCAAACACAGACAGTCACATACTGTGACGTGCACTTTATTCAACAGCAGTGACTGATGTGTGTAACAGTATTAGCTGTAATAAGTCTGCACTTCATCCCCTCTAAAGAACTCACACGTGATTTTATATGTACAACAAGCCCACTCACAAACCAATTCCTATATACACTTTGGGTGGTCTTGAGAAACAATGACAAGGAGCCGTTGTCTGTGCACATTAACACATGATTCATCAAAATAAATAAATAAATAAATAAATAAATGACTTTGGACGTAGGCTAGGTGGTTTAAAGAAAAAAAATGGTGACAAGATCCTTGCTAACACAAATATATGGGATCAGCCTTTGAAGCCAGTGGAGTTTATAAAATCAGATCTTGATAAAAATCCACAGTAATTGTGTGTTGCAATTGCTGTTATGTCTCTTCTAATAAAGCTGAAAAGTCACTGATGTGCTTTTATGTGGTGCCGTAAACACAATACAGAATTTTGGGATAATGACAGCACCGACTGCAATGTATTATATAGAGCCACAGTACGATGAGGCTGGGAGTGATGTGCACTGAGACGGAATGAATTATCAAAATGAATTTCAGAGTATAACATCTTAAGCTGACCAGATGGAAAAGGAAAAAAAAATCTGTACAACCTGGAGATGTAGCGAGGATGGGAGGGGGGATATACATAATTTACTTTGAAAAAAAGATATTGAGTATACAAACATATTTAGCAAACTGACAACATGTATTTAAGTAATTTTCAATGAGATGTCAAAAAATAAAGTATTATAAGGGTATCCGTGTGGAAAAAGATATAATGTTGTCCAGGTTTACAAAATCTGTCTGTTCTTTGAAAGGCAAAAACTGAAATTTCCCTCTCACTATTCTTCTCTACCCAAGCAAGAGCTCAAGTCACGGTGGTATAACCTGCTCATGGTCCTGATAATAATTCTATTTTAGTGCCCCATTTGCAAAAGATCACATTTAAATCGTTAGAAAATCAGAATGCAGATTAACTCTAATTTACAGTACAAAAAACCCCATCCATATTAGTAGTAGAAGCAGTAGTATTATCAAATCACATCACAGTTTTACCGTTAGTTAGTCATGGTTATTCTGTGCATCCCCTGATGTTTTCTTTAATTCGAGTGCCATTTGGTCTCCCATTGTGACTAATAATGAGTCACACTGTGTATTCTGAAGGGTGCGGGTTCATTTATGGTCAATAAGCACATTAAAGTTCCTGTGGAAGACATATTCATCAATGTTTTTAAGCCACTTTTGGCCGTATTAATGATTTATTTGAGCACCCTGCTGTTTGTAGTTTTAAGAAGTCCTTTAAAGAGTCCTTTTCACTTCTTTGGTTCAACCACCATTTGGTCCTTGGCAGAACAAGCGAGTGGTCATAGTAAGATGTGGCAGGTACAAAAACTTCTTACTAATGATATCCACAAGTCTAAATGTGCTGTGTTTAAGCATGCTATGAATGCCCTAAATCGTTCCATTTTTGGTTTGTGTAAATATAGGGAGTGGAGTTTTGGGTTTTTAATCTGATCCAGAACCAGGCCACTGATCCCAAACTATAAATTTGAACGCAGATTCTAAGGCCAAAATCAACCTTGACAATAGTAATCTTTTATGCTCACATCAATCTTCTTTTTCTATCATATTGTATGCAGTAAGAATTATTTAAATCAGTCTTAGAAGACACAGCTCTAATGAAACCCATGCTAAAGAATAACACCACAGCTGAAGAAATCTGTCCAAAAGGTTGTTGAAAGGTGGCTTGCTTAAATAGACTTGCCAGTGAAATATGGTTCCTCTGAATTCCTCTCAGCCGGATCTACATTCATAGAGAAAGAACAATGATTGACCTTGGCCAAATGAAAAATTGCCTCAATTGTTCATACTTCACTTTGATGTTAAATACATTGAAACAGGGCAGAACAGGAAAGCTGCTCACCACAACTGAAGGAAAAATTAAACCTTTTATGCCGCCTTAGAACTGCCGCCCGTTTCCCGTTTCTAAAGCTCCCCCTCTGTTCAATTGCCTGCATCTGCCAGAATATACATACAATTTGCTATTTCTGTCTTGCCAAGCTAATGTATCCTTCAGTTACCACTCTTTTCTATGGTATGTTCCTTCCTACAATGTTAGTTATGTTTTAACCACCTCCTGCATCCTTTCTCTCCCACCTCTCCATTTCTCTCTCATTGTTTTTTATCTCTCTCTCCTACTCCCATCCCTCTCTTTGCTCCAGAAAGTAGCCTTTCCGAGACCAGGGAGGGCACCTCCATCATTAAGGTCCCAACGCGGAGTCACCAATTTACACTCTCATTAACAGATCCATGCGCTGCTCAGTAAAAAACAAAAACAAAACGGGACCACCCACGTGTTTAGGCCCCCTCAAAACAAAATGCAACAATAAAGATGTGTTCTCTCTGCTGGCTGAATGAGCCTAGTTTTCTAGCAAATTAACTGACATTTGGGTTTGATAGTACACAGGGCGTTTATGTGTTAACGAGAAGATGCTGTTAATCAGGATTGAATGCTTGAAAAGCCCTTGTTGTGGACTTGCAGTGTTTGTTCTTTTTGCACAAAGTAAAGGAAGCCTTGTATAGATTAATTTGTTTCCAAATGTGTCAGACTGTGTGTACGCAAATTTGATGTGTTTAACTTTTATTTTCACTCCTAACAAATAACTAAGAGCTTTTAAGAGAATATCAAATCCTGCATCTCCAGATGCTAACACCTTATTTCTAGTGACCCAGGTGACATTTTTCTCTTTACTGACTGCAGCAGAGATGCTGTTATTGATGAATACCCCCTTGAAAATTAAAGGCATACTTATGATCCTGTGTGGCTCAATGGGCAAAGAACACCACAAACATTGCAAGAGTTAAGAGTTCCAACTTCCACTGGGCCACCCAGGGTTGAAATGTAAGTAAAATCTGACAGACAAATCCTGCAATTAAGTTTTTTTAAACAAGTTTTGTCTCTGGTAGTTTGAGCTAAAGAAGTGCACACACAGGGAAAAATAAGTGTACCTCTAAGAATTTCACCTATGGCTGCCGAATGCTTTCATCAAATGTGCTTTTCTTTCTTTCTTTTTAAAAAAAAAAATCTGCTGCGCCACATCCAAACAACCAACAGTGGTACCAGACCAGGAAACCAGGAAACAAGTGACATGGCTGTTTTCATTTCTTTACCTTTTATGTCTGAACATACTATATACACTGATCTTTGTGCTTTGTCAGGATATGTCTGTGTTCTTACCATATTGTGCCTGTTTGTAATAAAACTAGTACAGACATGTAGAGCTAGACCACCCAGAGCAGTTACCCAAACACCCTCCTCTCTCTCAAAAAAGAAAAAAAAGTCACTTGTCTTAATTATATCCATCCTCTGGGCGTGTCTATGCCCAAAACAGACATCTGAGGCCCCCACCCCTCCACCAACTGGCCACAAACCTCACAGAAACGTTATGGTAAAAACATTTCGGTGAACACATTGACCTTCGGTGGAAACAAACCTATTCAGTACTGTAAGGAATCATTTTCGCTAAGGTTGCAAAGACAATCAGATTTCATATTATTTATTGTTGGATTATCTCCTCCTGTAGATCCCAGACTTTAAAAGGTACTGCAGAGGTTCTTTTGATAACAAAATCTGCAGGATGTTAAAATCAAAAGAGGTAGAATGAAATACCAATAATATCAGCCAGGCACTTAGATGAAACAGAGGAAAAGACAAGACAATGTGTCCACACACAAGTAATAAGGAGGCGTCTGCTCCAGGGAGGAGGTTGTTGTGACTGCGCTGTTCTTTTTCATGATCTATAATTTGAGAGAGAGAGAGAGAGAGAGAGAGAGAGAGAGAGAGAGAGAGAGAGAGAGAGAGAGAGAGAGAGAGAGAGAGAGAGAGAGAGAGAGAGAGAGAGAGAGAGAGAGAGAGAGAGAGAGACTATGCAGGCAGGACCCCAACGACTATCTGCCAGACAAATCCTCTCCTGTCTTTGATCCTTTGCCCACTTCTCTCTCTGCGGTTTTTGTTTTCAGGCAAACAACTGTGATGTTTAGCTGAAGTGCACTGAGATTCCAAGGGCCCCAAAGATGGAGGACTCTTAAAATCTACTGCAAAAAAAACAAAGGGACACTAGCATGAAATTTAGGACAGAAAAGACTTAAAAATGTTTTAAATGGTCAACACCCTTGTCCACTCCTTGCTTCTAAATGTTTTCAACATGCTTTTTTTCCAATGATCAAAGGGTTAATCTGATCTTGTTTTATTTTAGCTGAGATGCTATCGAAGGCCATTTGTTCCAAGCAGCGAGGCTAATGACCCTGAGCCAATGCTTGGCGTTTGGCCGGGAACTCAAGAGTAAGGGAAGGTAAGTAACCTCATATATTCTCAGGGGGCTGAGCTAATGAGAAGGATTGGGAATACGAACTACGGTCCATCATCTACTTAGGACCTAGACAGCAGTGCTGTCGCCCTCCCCTACACACACACACACACACACACACACTAATAGGATACCCAACCATCCTCCTTTTCTTGCACCTAATTTTACTTCTGTCTTGTTAAGTAAATGTACTTTGTGAAGCATTTTGTCATCAATAAATCAATACTGCATTAATTCTGAGACATTGGTATTATTACTGTAAACAAGGCATTCTGTCATCAAGATGGCTGGCAGCCTACTTTGGCCTTTTAAGTGTGTGGATTTTCCTGGTATGCTTTACGGTATAAAATATTTTACAGCACACAACATTACAAAGATGGCATTCTTCCAGCACAAAAAAGCAAGCAGCAATATGCTTTGTGTCTGAAAGTAAAATACAGTACAACATTCAGTCCTCTGGACAATGGTTGCACTTCTATACTGCAATTTTATGGAAATAAACCACCGTTCATCTAGGATATAA